ATAAAGTTACAGGTAGAAGAGCTGTCCTGAACTGGAACTACAAAGGGAGTGTAGAGGGTTAAAGGGACGAAGATGATCTTCACAACAAGTTTGTGAAAAATGAGTTCTCCTCTTCCCCCTCATCATAATTTTTAAAAAATAAAACTCTTTCCATATACAAATTTTCCCACAAAGTCAACATGTTTCCAGAGCCAAAAGCATCACACCTGTTCAGATATGCTAATTGCACAGGAGAGTCTTTCATCAGAGAGCACCAAGTGCTTTCTAATATTAGATCGTGCTGAAAGAAGTCTGCTTTTAAGCATTCAATCAATGGATCATGATACACTGATAAACTCAAAACTGCAGGCTGGATTCCCTGATCTCTCTGTGCTGCTCAGGCAGTTTAAGGCTCTATGATCTTAACTGGGAAGATAAGAACTCCCCCGAGGCTGCCTGACCTGGCACGGATGGCGCAGGAGCCAAATATTGCTGTCGGTTCCATCGGGGATCAGCTCAGGGAACGAGGAGGCTGTAATCACATCCCTTGATAAGTTCTATCATTTTCTTGCATCAAACAGTTCTCAGTTTCATTGCAGATGGACTAGTTTTGTGTTTCTTCTTTTTCAGCCTTAACGTAATCTTAACTTTTTAAATTCTGACAATAGCAGCCATCTGAAAAAGTAAAAATAAATAAATCAATCTGTTAAACACTGAAAATTAGTAAGGCCACCTTTTTCTTTTTTCATTTACAAATCAGGTTCTTGGGTCATAGATGTATAGTCCTTGAGTTAGAATATTGTTGGGTGAATCCAGTGTGGACTGTCATTTACAAATCAGATTCTTGGGTCATAGATGTATAGTACACCATGCAGTATAAGACTCTGACATTTTTGCTACTGTCCTTGAGTTTGAATATTGTTGGGTGAATCCAGTGTGGACTGAAACATCTGAGGATGAGCCATTGTGGTCACCAAACGGCACATTCCCCTGGCAGCTCCTGGTCACAGACAAACCCACCTGCTCAGCCCAAGGACTGGCTGAGGGACTCGATAGAAACAGCTTCCACTGTAAGACAAGGATTTTGCACGTTGTGATGGACAGAGCAGTGGTCTGTGAGAGGGAATCTGGGGACAGAAGATGAGATTTGTCATGAAGGATGATCCCTTTTAATAAAGGATCACTTTTAAATAAAGGACGAGCCTAAGAACTTCTCTTTTTGTGGAACTGAGAAAATAGTGAGAGCAAAATCTTTTTCTTTATACTGTGTATGAGTAGTGTCCAATCTTAGAGAGCAGTGTAAGAAAGGACACGGCTTTTGCCATTATGATCAGTAAAATGAGCCCCCTCAGTAAAAGGAGCTTTTTCTTCAAAGGAGCAGTGGGAGAACTTCAGCCATGCTGTCATTAAGTAGCTGAGATCAGGACTTCTTTGGTTTGGGTTCTAAGTACTCTCTTAGATTGGCCTGATTGGATTTGTAGCCTCTTACAGATGTATTGTTCCTTTAGATGCTGTTCAGAGAAAATACTTGCCTTTTTTTGTTAAGCACAGCAAGATTTCAGAAAGGTCAGTGCACAAAGCCTGCATTTCTTGCTGTTGAGCTGGTACTCAGGTACCATTTTAGGCAATTATTAAGGATCGCTACATTAAGAAACAAAATTTAAAAAAAAGCCAAATCAATATTTTTTATTCACATGAAAACTCAGCTAGCACAAACGCTTCATATCAGTGTTTAATAATTACCCCAAGGGGCAGGAAACAGGTGTCATTGCACATTGCAAAGAGCCCAGCAGGAGGCTGGGCTGGCTCTCTCCTGTACGTCCTTTGCTGTGGGCGTTTGGCTGCGCAGGACTCAGGTACCTTTCCAGCAAGAACTGCTAAAATGGACCTACTTAAAATGTAATGTTTACAGAAGAGCATCTGCGACTGCAGCATATCAAAAAATTAGTAACCCAAGACAAGGATTATTGTAGGAATTGTAAGATGGGCAAGGAACTAATTTAATGGAAGAGGGAAATAGATTAGGCTGAAACGGAATTACTAATGATGTTTTGGAACGCCACCTTATGTAATATTTTCATTAATGCCAATACAAATATAAGCATAAACAAATGAAATTTGAACATATATTTGAAACTGGGACAAAGTTGACAGCGATATCAAACAAAGGACTGGAATTTTGCATAGGAAGAGTTCAGTAATGTGAAGTCTGAAGTAATATAAGCACCATGAAATAAGTGTAAAATCAATGTGCTTGAGAACAGTTGTTTTGCTGAAAACAAGATGGTTCCTTTGGTTTAAAAAAAAAAAACCAACAAAAAAACTGACATGGGAGAGAAAGGTTTGGTAACACCTTCTACTTCCTGGGGTGATAAGGAGTAAGAAAATAACAGTAACAGAACTCCTGCTGCGATACTGTTTTCAAAAAATGCTAATGGCTATCACAGAAAATGAATTTCCACTGCTGAAGGTTCCTCAGTATTAACGCCTATAATTTCTACAGCTTTTCTAGGGCTGTGATAAGAGACTGGACAGATGACCCACTGTTGTTAGAGAAGACTAAGGACACATCTATGCCCAACAACCTCACCCATAGAGGAAACTCCAATGATTGCTGAGTAAATGAAAGCTAAAGTTCCATAGCGGTGGCAGTGCCCTGGGTCACGCTCGGACAAGCAGCGCTGTCCTGGAGCCCAGCACTGAGAAGCCTTATCTGAAGTAGATTAGGCACAATTTGTGCCTATTTGCAAGGGATTAATGACGTTGCAGAACTGCTGGCTGCTGGGGGAAGTTTTGCAGCTGTTCCTGAAAGCTGCCCTTGAGCAGCGGGTGGTGGGGACCTCCGTGGTCTGGAGCGGCAGGTCCTGCTACAGGCACCTCTGGAACAGGGGACCCAACAACCATCTCAGCTCACAGGAGATGGAGCAGAGCAGCAGTAATGCTGGAAGGTAGAAGGTAGCTGCTGAGATTCCACATCACAGTCATTATCGTAAGTGTTCTTCACTAAGCATTTATCAAGTGAGGTGAAAGATTTTATCAAAAATAATCTCTCTGATTTCCTTCTGTAAGTCAGGAGACCTCAAAGCACTTGACAGGAGCAGCACACACCAGTTTAACTGCAGAGTGGGTTGCAGCTTTCACAGGAGTAAACAGCAGGTGCAAGGTGGATTTTTTCTTTTCCTTGGCAAGTCGGAAAGTTTACGTGCTTGGATCTGTACCTGAAGACATTTATTTGCAAAGGAAGAGGCTCAAGAGCTTCTCCTGGTTTTCCTTTAGCTCCTAATTTGAAGCTGTGATAGATGGAAGACTGCTGGACTTGCTTCCCAGCCAGACAACAGAGCAAATGAACACTACCATCAAAAAAGGGACCATGTTCCTACAAATAAAATTAAAACATAGAAGATTACTGAAATAATTTAAAGCCATTGCTTTCTTCAGTAATATACTGAATATATATGCATGCAGGAGAGAGCTATAGGCACACCATGTACAGGTGCAACTGTGACTAGAAAATGTATTCTCCAGGCAGTTGTACGTTAACAGTGACACCCCAAGCAAACTGCTCAAAGGAGTATCTTAGAATGGTGTTATCTTGTTTGTATTTCAAGCAATTTTATTAATCAAAGTCAAGTACAGCTTCTTGAAAAAGCTGAAGAGATGTCAAAGGGTCTATCTTAAAACCACAAGAAGTTCTCAGGCCTGCAGTTAGGACAGTGCTGCTGGCTGAACACTGAGATTATTCCATAAAATACATCGAAGCCCAACCCCTCTCCTCCAGTAACACTTCAACAGCACTTTCGATTAGTAAGATTAAACAAATGTGTTTTACAGGTTTCCAAAAGATAGCTCAGCTGAAGGAACATACTATTTGTTTATATCTTCAAAACAGAAAGAAAACATAAGGATGCAACATTTTGACAAGACTTGGTTTGCAATGAGGATGGGAAGTAAAACCTAGAACTCTTATGCTATTTTTGTGAAATTTGACCCCGAGCCGCAAGAAGAAAGCCCTGACAGACCTTGGCTCAAGGAATCCTAAGATTATCACTACCTGTGTCACAGAAAGCCAATGGTTTTGCATCCCTCAGAGCAGTTATAGTAGAGCTGGACTAGAAATTGAGCTGAAATCTATACACTGGCTGCATGACTAACACAAAATGATTTCAATACTCTTGAGAGCCACCTGAGTACCAGCCACCAGGAGGACAAAGGTTTATCTTTACATTTTCTTACCCTTCCTAACAATATCACTTTGGAGTTCTTCAGAAGAAATCTGCATGTTTCTGATGTTGGCATTACCTTTATTTCTTTCAGGATCAAGGATATTGCATCTGGAACAAGTATTCCATGAAAAGTGAAAACTGAAAAAGCAATATTATACACTGAGGAAAAACAAGGCAGTAAATTTGGATTCTCTTATAGTCTAATATGAGCAAATGCTGAAAGACTGAGAAGCGGAAAAAAAGAAACTATGATTTACATATTCATTAAGTAATTTGTATAATCAGAAGATTTAAAAGGTCATTACTGGAACACCTGCCTGTTAACAGATGTAGAAGAATGAAGGCCAAAGAACACAGTTTTTATAAAGATGTTGAGAGATAAACAGTTGGCAGATCCACAGGTACCTGCTGTGGCAGCTTTAGTCTTTTTGGCTCAGGCTACTGTTGTGGAGAAGGTAAAGCTTCTGGAATTCCAGAATCCACACACACTGGCTTTCCTGTGGCAAAACCTAACAGTTGTTTATTAAAAAAATTTGGTTGCTTTTAAATACCAACATTCAAGCAAAATAAGCTTTTATCTAGTAAGAAAGTTTTACACACTAAGGTCAAGTATGAACGCGATGCAAAACAGGATGAAAGTGGCTCAGTGCACTGGACAGAGTGGATATTAGAAAAAAACAATCTTATGCTCTCTTAGCACAGAAAGAAAACCAGCCTAGTAGATGCTGGTGTACCTTAGGTAGATGGGAGTATGGCACCGTGCACAAACCTTAATCAAGAACAAGGAGTCTGTCTTAATTTGGCTGAATTTATTAATTTCCATTTCAGTGCCACTCAGTGACACTGGAGACCTCAGTAAGCCATTTGCACAGACACATAATTGCAGGTAACTAAGCGTTAGCTCTCCAGGTCTAAGCTGGTCACTGAATGCTACTTCTACTCTGGGGCTGAATCATTTTCTGGGGATTCCCGTCAGATCTCCTTCTGAAACAGACAAAAATGCAGCATTATGGGCTGTGCTGGCTTTGGCTGGGGTAGAGTAAAATTTCTCCATAGTAGCCACTATGGGGCTATAGTTTGGATTTATTTTCCTGTCTCTCTGCTAATATTTTTTTTTGTTTCTGTACAATTTTTAAAAATTATTTCTTTTTAATTATTAAACTGGTTTTATCTCAACCCACAAGTTTCTTTCTCATGTTTACCCTCACAATTCTTTCCCATCCCACCGGGGAGCGGCTGTGTGGTGCTCTGTTGTTGGCTGGGGTTAGACCCCACCATGAGCTTAAACATCTAATGTACAGATGTCTCAGTTAAGGCAAAATAACATTCTACAGTCAGCATTCTAGTCCTAGGAGAGCATCTGGTTGCATTAACAAAATTAAATAAGTGGTTTACATATCTGCATTATTAGTATTACTTTATAAAAATAGGTTAATATAAAACAATTTGACTTACGTTTTAATCACATCTATGTGCAATAACATGGGCACTTCCCCACCAGGACACTTCTCACTGTATGACATCAATATTCAAGTTGGGAGGAAGCTGAGGAGATAACCTGCTCTAATCCTCAACTCAAGCAGGGCCAGCTTCAAAATTATGAGATGATGGTCAGGGCCTTGTCAGTCAAGTTCTGCACATCTCCAAGGAGGGATGTTCCACAGCCTGAGCAGCCTCTTCCTCTTCCATTTCCAGTTTCAATTCACTCTTACAATGAAAATTTTTTTCTTATGTCCAACACGAATTTCTCTCATTCTGAGTTGTCTCCGTTGTCTCACATTCTCTTCACGTGTACCTCTAAGAAAAGCTTTTCTTAATCCTCATTCAGGCAGGTGAAGACAGCAACAAAATCATCCTTTTGCACTTGTTTATGTTGCTACACAGGATTAGTCCACTGCAGGTAGAAAAGCACAGGTCTTTGTGGAACATCATGGGATTTGTTGATCCTTAAGTCCAGCTTGTCAGGATCCCCTTGAATGGGGCCACTCTATCCCTCAATGTATCATACATTGCTCCCAAGTTGGTGTCATCTACCAACAGACTGAGACTGCATTTCATTCCATTGCTCAAGCTTTTAATAAAAATATTAAATAATACTGGCAGCAGTAGCTGCCCTGAGGAGCACCACTAGTAACCGGCTTTCAACGTGGTGGTGTAGCATCATTATTCTTCAAGTCTGATGGTTCAAGTCCATTTCCTGTCCACCTCTCTCCATTTGGCTGTGAGGACACTATAAGCCCATGTGCAAGTCTCTGCTGATGACAGGAAACATGACGTTCTCTGCTCCCTCTTCTTCCACAAAAGGGAGGGAAATGAGATTAGTTGCAGAGTTTGCCTCTGCTGAATTCATGATGGCTACTCTCAATCAACATATAGCCCTTCATGTGTCTTGAAAAGAAATTCATTTCCATAACCTCAAGGAACAGGCTTTATAGTCTTCCCAGGAACTGAGGTTATGTGCTACTTCAAAGTATATACGATACAATTATTATTTGTTTTATAAAAACAAATATATTGATTTTATACCCCCCAAAAATATATTTTTATACAGAATAACGTCTTTACAGCTATTTGAAAGAATCTTTACTATTACATGATTTTTATATACACTTTCATACATTTGTCCCTGTTAAATGTACAGAATAACAGAAAACAAACTTTAGCTATTGATAATTTTACAAGATAATATTTTTTAAAAAACAATACATCTTCCTTCCTTTAATTTTCATGACAAAAGCTTCCACGTGGTCAAAGATTCAAAAAGTCATCCAAAATTTTCAGACATGATTCATACAGGATTCTGAAATGACATAAACCAATGCATAACAGGATTAGATATGCTAAATGCTAAATCAATCCTCGACTATTTGATTCTCAGAGTACAGCTACTCCATGATTTCTTTGACAAGTTATTCCCTATTAGGTTAAGTCTTAAATATGCCTTTACAAATTACTTTAAAAATTGCTGGGTTCTTTTCTTTCAACTTTTCCATTTTTCTGCTGATCATCTCTAGCTATAGCATAATCTACAGCAAGCCTCTTTAAATTACTATGTCAATTCAGGCCCACTTTCTAATATTTCATCATCTATTTAAAGAACCCACTCATTTTCTTCAGAGCATTTTTACTCTTTTTTCAAACATAAATAGTCAAATCCTTTACCGTGAATTCATACTAGGGCTATTTTTCATTCTTCTATTTCCTTCCTTTACTCTCTCATTCTTCAGTCTTCATAATTTTTCTCCTCACCTCTGGCATATTTTTTTTCCAGGCCTGAGCCTTCTCTCTTACCCTTAGAGGGAGCCTGCTTCAGCTGCACGTACATCCCCCAGTCCCCTTCTGACCCCCTCTCGTCTCAAATTACTCCAGAAACAATCTCAAAGTTCAGCTCTGAAATTTCCCTTTGGCAGGGCCTTTTTATTTTCTTCCATTCCCTGACGTAGTCACTCATCTACCCTTTGTAGTTGCATACAACTTCTTCTAACACTGCTGTAAAATATCATCAAAACACAAAAACGGGCATTTTGGTCTTCTGTCAAAACATTATTTCACCGTTAACCATCATAAACTTTATCCTTCATGTTACTTTTGTAAAAGATTCTGCTACCTGTATTTCTCAACCGTTTTTTTTCCTCCGTATTTCTATCATTATAGAAATGATAGAAATACGGAGTGGCTGCCTCAAATAAGCAAGGTCAGTCATTAACCACGAGGAGTTCGGGCATTCATCATGAGACACCAAGACCTGAAATACAAGCTGTGGCTCTGGACTTCCATGGCAGTGTGTTGGACTTAAGGGCTCCCTCAACTGAGATGGCCACGGCCCTGCCACGTGCTCCTCTTTCTAACGCTGTATCCTCTAAGCCATGCTGGAACTCAGCTGTCACAGTAAGCTACTATTACTTAGTAGTCTACTATAAAATCAGCATGATTAGTTGAGTACTGTGGTTTTAGACACGATGTTATTTTGCATAAATTTTATAGGGCAGGAAGCCATCATCCAGAATAACCGTCCGACTCCCCAGACAGGCAAACTGAAGTCAGTTTTACCCAGTACCTTCCTAGAGAACTTTCAGATGTGGCAGACAAATCATAATCAGTTTTATTACAAAACAATTCAAGAACCATTATTTATAGACTGAATGAGAGTGCAATGAAGAGTTTGTGAAGCTGGCTAAATGATAGCACTAAAGAAATATCTTTCATTGCAGCCATTAGCTAAAGTTAAATTCTAATACTCATACATCAAAATGCTAATTAAAGTAAATACTAAATATTAAGTAAAAGGTATTACTCTATAGCACATTTCGCTTTATAGAGATGGAACATTTTTCTCTAGCCTCCAAATCACTGCATCGACAGCTTTATTCACATTTTGTTTTGCTAGGCATAAATATTTGCATTTTATAAACTAAACAAATGTGTGTTGCCATTACTCCTGAGGAAACTCTCTCAATATACAACACGTTGCCCAGAATTTTTAAGTGCACTGAACAGCATTTTTAAAATAATAGACCCGCAGGGCCATCTTAAACCGCTCACTCAGCTGAAGAGGGAAGACTAAATTACAATGAAAAGTTTTGCTTCTGAATTAGTGCAACCATTCCTTGTTTAAGGGCAGCAGTTTAATTACTACTCCAGACAGCATTTTTACTCGTTTCTTTCTTTGCTAATATGTAACAGATTACTTTAAGTCTAAATTTAAGATGCTGGCACAGAATGCCAAGTCTCTAGGGAAATTAAAGAACGTCACTGTTTCCTGGCATACCTGGATATTAAATAAAATAATCCCTCAAGGAGTTATGATGAGACAACACATTCAGAAGCAAGAAGTAATACTACTATTAAGTACGAGTTAAAAAAACAGTAATATATTTTAGGATGCATCAGTGCAACACAGTGTGACTGTACTCCAAGTAATGACCAGAGACCTAGCTTGCATCACGCCATACCTAAAATTTTGGGGTTTGGTAAACAGAGTAGGATGATAAAATAATTTACAAACAAGAGGGCACATTTCTGACTGTATATAATCACAGATTAGTTATACATTAACAGTCTAGTAGCACAGCACCACAAATGGCACATCAGAAGACACGAGAGGCCCAGCTTGGTCCAATATTCTGTCTGAGAAAGCACAAATACACTTTAAATGAGTGAAGCAAAACCTGGTCATTGAAGAACTTCCTCCTGACCTTTTTTCAGAATGAATTCTGTTATCCTTTAGGAGAGAGAGGAAAAAAAAAAGCCCAACTTGCCTGTTCAAATATGAATCCTCCCAAATTCTGCAAATCCATGTGATACCTTCTGAATTTTGTTAACATATTGCAATTCTGATTCTTGTTAAAAATACTTTGCATCATCATGTTCATATTCCGAATCTTTTAATTTTATCTGCAGCTGTCCCTCAGGTTTGTGTTATATGAAGGCATATTCATATATCATGAAATTAAAACACTGTGCAACATCTTATGGTCTTCATCTGCCCCAGCTTCCAGGCTGATCTGTCCCTGTTCATTGGGCAGAGATGATCATATGGATCCATAAAGCAATTACCTGTGTTCTTACTGAAATTTATAGTCAGTGGTGCACTCAAGTTGCAGCAATTACTCATTTTAATGGGCCTATTTATTTAATCATGTTAAGATCTGCCTTAATTTCTCAGCCTTTTCTACTGTCTTAATTAAAAGAAGTGCACAACTGAATCATGATACTCTGCTGTTCACCTTTATTTTCCAGATCATTATTACTGTTTTTAAAAATATTCTAGTAGAACACTTGGCAACCCAATGTTAAATGATTTAATGGCAAAAAAAATAATTTGTTTTTTTTGTTTAATTTTGTTTCTAAGCTAAGCCCCAACCAAAAGAAATTTGTTGCAGCTGAGCAACTAATTAAAACAATCTACCCAGGAAGCAGAGTCACTCTGAGTTTTAGAAGTTCAATTATGTAGTGATTTTTTTTTTTTTAATAGGATATTTTTCAGTTCTTTATCAATTTTATGTTACTTAAGCACAATGTCCTCTATGGAAACATCTCAAAGTCTTGACAGGAAAATAGAAAACAGAAATTTACTATGTCAGACAGCAAATGAAGTGAAGGGTGCACTGGTTTTGTTGGGGTTTTTTTCCCCTTCTTTTGTTTTTTCAATAAATCTCATTTTCAATAGTATGTAACTGGTGGCTCCTATGTATCATAAAACTTTCTGGTTTAGTTCTTAAGTTTACGTATCTCTTAAAAGAGAGTTACATAATACTATTTTGGCTCTGATATAATAGCAGATTTAAATGAATGATGCACATTTTCTTAGCAACAACACAGCTACTCTACTGTATTTTTCTGAATATCAGGCTTTTTTTTTTTTTCACAGAAAAATCCAATTTACCTTCTGCACTTCTGAACCAATTCCAAATGGATATTTACTGTACAGCCCTCTAAAAGTTCTACCACTGTCGCAGCACTCAGTGTAGCTGTTGGGCTTCTTGATACAACTCAAGTGCAAACTCTAAGTATTTGAAGTAGGAAAGGGATGTAGTCCATGTGGCCTCCTTGACAAACTGATTTTTCATACAGTAGCATCTCATAACTTTAGTATTGGCTTTAAATCAGTGACACCAATTCAGTCACAGCACAGCCTCCAAAGGTTTATGTCCAGTCATTCCAACGCCAGAAACAACATGCCTCAAGCTGGTGATCCAGCAGAAGAACATGCTGTGGAAGTGTCCTCGGGACTGCAGAGCCATGCAATGACCCCAAATAAAGTGGGGTATTTTTTATGTCTCATTTTTTAATGTAAAAATCAAGTACCTATTCTACACCCATTGTTTGACTGAATAGTAAGGATCATCAATTTGAAGAATTAAAGATGGCAAGGGCTTTTCCATGTTCAGACCCTGTGGAGCATTAATAATTTTCTCAGTATTTTTAGATGAATGTCCACAATTATTGTCTGTTTTCTTCATATTCTATGATTGTGCTTTTTAATGCCTACTTTGTGTGTTTTCTAATTCCATGGTCAGTTCAATAATTAGGCAGAAATCAAATGTTAACAAATTTTTAGACTTAAGCAAGTTTTAGGCACTTAAAGCATTTACCACGATGCTATCTTTGGCAGGTCTGAAATAAATGATTGCATATAAAGTGTAGTCAATCACTTTCAAGAAACTTATCCCCAAAAATCTAAAAGTCAACTACATACAACACTGAAATTGCAAAAAAGAGCAAAATAAAATCCCCTGTGGGAAGGTCTTACAGTCAGTCATATGCAGTTAAATTTTTACTATCTGCGTAGGTATGGATTAATATGCCTAATACCAAAATTAGAGAGAAAAATCTAGTAATAATGCTTTGTTCTGCACCTGCTGCTACCAGAACTGAATTTCAGAACTGAATCCTGCTATATACAGGATCAAGTCCTAACACATTCAAATTAAATGCAAAAAACCCAACTAAATATAGAAAGATTGTAATCACAGCAAATGTATGGGCAGGAAATTTAATACCATGCTGCGCCCAGTACCTCACAATTTTTTTACCCACTACTGCAAACCTTGCAGTCCTTCCCCAGGCTCTAACTGTATTAAGCAAACACAAAGCAGAGGCAATGAGTGCAGAGGGAGCAGGAGAGGTTACTGTTCATTTCCCACAACACATTTACCTTTCGGTGCTGCCAGCTTCTCCCGCGGCAGCATCCTTGCACGTCAGCAGGGTCCTTTGAATGGCAGGTGCAATATCCTTCAGAAGGGAAGTTTTGTGCTTACCTATTTGAAATAAGATTACGTTGAAAAGTTGGACAAAAAAAATGATTTATCAAAAAAAAACCAAACCCTGCAGATTTTAATCAAATATTTTTTAACATAAAAGATTTTTTTAACAAAAGATTAGATATTAAATTAGATTTTCACTGTCCTGGGTTAATTACTGTGTATTTCAGCCAATCATAATATAGAGATGAACCCTATGAGTTAGAACAGTTGTGTTTTTAAACTCGTTATACAAAGATTGAAAGTCCAAGGGTTAACAACATGATTTACAAGTGATGTAACCTTAAATCCTGTAGAAAAATGGTAACTTAACAGTGTAAGGAAAAGTGCCTCTTGAATTGTATAAGAACTCCTTTCAAAATGTAGTACATTAAAAAAAAAGAAAGGAAAAAAATAGGCAAAAATGGTTTGACTGACCTTTAATTATAATCACAATGCAAACACTAGCTGTGAGACTAAAAATCCCTTCAATTTCTTCTGAGAGAATACATTCCATTAATTCATTTAAAAATGATCTAAGGAAAAAAATAAAGGAAAAATACATTTTAAATAATGTTTCTTTCAAAATAGAACTGAACACAAGTTTGTGATTATGCCACACTGCTACCACAGCCTCTCAGACACCCTGCAGGACAAAGCAGTCGTTACTGGGTAATTGAAGACAAGGTGCTGCTTCTGGGTCTGAGAACATCTTGAGTTGGCAGAATGGTAAATTGCGTGCAAAGAAAATAGAGGAGGTTGTACACAGAACAAGTAGCTGTTAAGAGAAATGAAGAGCTCATGGACTATTTGGGGAAAGTCCATCTGTGAAGAAACTACTGGTTCTTCGGGAATCTAACTCATGTAATTTGTATTTAATTCTCTAACTTCAATTTCTACTGAAGTTTACAAGAATATATTATGACTCCAGTGGTTTGTTAGTAACTACTCACGCCCTTAAAACTATTACTACTTCTAGTCTGATTAGAAACTAGAGTTTAATTAACACTTTGCTCTAAAATGAGTTATCTCCTAAAAATTAAAATAGATGGGTTTCCAATTACAAAACACTAAAGAACATTTATAACTAAATATAGCCCCAAAACACTTCCAAACTACATTTTAGATATTTAAAGTATGGACAGACTAATAGAATCAAAATAACTGTTCATTGTAAAGTCTGAGATAGATATTAACTCTATATGTATCTTAAGAGACTCACTTTTAGCAAGAGATGACAGTATTACCAGCAAACTTTAGAGAGGTTTTGGGACATATATTAAAAAAAATGCAACAAGGGAGTCAAGAAAGAGATCTAGCAACCAAAGTAAACTGCAATATGGAATAAGGCAATACCACAGAATGAAACCACGAATTGGCCATTATAGTGTTTATAGTAAAAACAACAAATGTAACTCAGAAGCAATTCACAAAACCAGAGAAGAATAAAAGAACAAGAGGGATAAAGCAGAAGTTGGACAAGATCTGTAATCCTCATACTCCTCAAAGCACAAACCTAAATGCTCTCTGAAGAACTAAAGGGCAAAACTGAGAGCAGTAGACTTTCCCTAAAATATTTCAAAATACCTTTGCTATTGTTATTATCTGTTACCAAAACTGAGTGCCATAAATACCCGGTTCCAACTTTAATTCCTCTTCAGGCTTTTATTGTGCTAAGGTATCAAAATGAAAGATGTAGTTAAGAAAAGAACCAACCTCCACCAGTGATTCAGTGAAGGAGTCTCGTAGAGAAGTATTGTTCAAAGAGCTGAGAACAATGAAACCTCTTTAGGTTCTGAAATAATTATGATGAAGTCGCTCATGCATTGCATTAGTTTTACAATTTCATTGTGGATTAATCTGACAAAGTATCAATTCCATTTCATATTGCTCTTAAATTGCTTACTGATAATATTCTGATCTGAGTTCTGATCTTTATTGCTGTCACTGTTTAGGTCAGTAGATCGCTCTTTAGTCCCATTAAGGAAGACTAATTTTATTAACCTGTAATAAGACTCCCTGCAGACTCAATGCAGCTGCCTTTCCCCACCTGCCTCTCAACAAGGGTCACCTGAGCCTGCAGGTGAAACAGAACAGAACAATAAGCTATTTACAAACACATATAAAAGTTAAAGAGAGAAGTAATTGGTTCCTATACAGATAATTCCCTACTAAAGGAAAGGATAGTCACACAATTGGCCTCATATTGCCAAGTCACTCAGTATCATCACTGGTGTGGGGACTGAAATTCAGTGCTAGAGACTAATTAGTAACTGAAAAGATAATAGATGCTGCAGAACCTGGTGTGAGATGATTGTGTGTTCCCAGAACAGAAGTTCACATCAGATTCTGTAATGTCAAGGGCTTTGACATTTGCATTGGTGTGGAAAGTTGATAATTCCTGAGACATTGAATTATTTACTACTGGACTCCAATTATGACCTATCAATACAGATTAATAAAAGAAAACAACCTTAAGAGTAATCTCAGTCTCCAAGAACCAGTGGAACCAGATGTAAATTATCTCCTGACTTAAATCTTCTTTGCACCAAAAGATAAACAGTAGAAGACAGATACATATTTATCAAAGTACTTGTGGAAACAATGTGGTCCAAAGTAGCAGTTTTCTCCATCAAGAATCCAATCAAGATTCTTCTTGACCACAATAAGGAAAAATTTCAGAGGAATAAATTGAATTTCTGCATCTCTTTTCAGTAGGTGTGTAAAATAATTGTGTTTCACTAAAAGAGAGTAACTCAATGGCCAGCTGTTGCCTCACACAAGAACAGAATTTGGAATAGGAAACCTATTGCTGGACTCTCTGGAGTTCTTTGTTTTGCAAGTTCGACTAGAACTAGAGATGGATTGAGAAGAAAAAAAAAAAATAAAATCCCATGACAGAAGAGACAGGAATATTCAATGCCCATCAGATGAGGAAGTTAAGAATAGGAGTTAGTTGTCATAAGTGATGGAGAATGATCGGACTTCTAAGGAATACAGGTTAACCCCTTGATCATGCAAAATAATTCAGTTGTGTATAGTCATGTAAATAAAAACTGAATATGAGCAAATTAAGCAATGAGCGATAATGGAATTCACTTCTGACCATTTTAGAAAATATTCAATGTACCCACTAAACATAGCAAATAAAACCCCAAACAGTTTAAGTATTAAAAAAAATAATTATGTAACCCCACTTTTGGAGGCTTTTAGGACTCAGACACTTTTGTGATTTTAATACAGCTATAGTGCATTTGTCACCTCATTGCAGACGTTCAATTACAGGATTAATGCTATTTCTGGTTAATATTTTACCTCATCTAAATACCTCTGCGTTATAGGGACTAATGTTTATAAGTATCTTATGAAAGAAGCAAGCCAAGATATAGGATTACAGATTTCAATGGACAGTCTTGTAAATAAGAAGCACTCTTAGAAGCATTTAAAAAATGGAACCAACCCCCTCAATCAATACCTACAAGCAACATGCCAAGATAAAGAGATTATGAAGTAGTACAGACAAATTTAGTAAGCATCTAGTTCCTCAAAACTTATTTGAATTTAGAAATTAAAACGTTATTGATAACATATTGGCAACAACCTTGGACAAATAAATGTAGAAATATTTACCTGACAACATTAACTGACTTCATAATTATGGCCATTATACTGCTTGAAAGAGGAGGAAGTTCTGAAATAGTCTTTGGGATCGTTAAGTCTTTCTCACTGGGAGCCTGAAAAAGAAAAAGGTCAACAAGTGTTGGAGATCAAGGAATATATGTATGTAGAAATCATGGAAGCAAATCTATATTTGAATAATTACACTGAGACCTATCCTTAAATACTTAGAAGAAACATTCACATGTGTTCTTTGAAAAACCTTAATCCAATTGTGTTGTGTCCAGGTAAACAAAACAAATTTAAATTAGAAAGGCTAAAACTAAACCAAATAAACAGCATTTGTACCAAGACAAATATTCTCCACATTTGTTCTGAACAGAAGTCTCATTTAACTACATTGTTGGTCACTGTTTATAAAGGCACAGCCTACTAAACACCAATGAGTATCCTTTTTGTTTAGGTGTGCAGACACAATTTCTAAAAGTAACTTGGGTGACAGTGATTTCCCAATTCCTTGCGTCAGTTCTTTCTGGTATCAAGTTCTGGCAAATATTTAGTCAGAACTGAATTTTAATTTACTAGTACTATAACCTTGGGGCAGGGAAAACCCCAGCTGAGATGACACACTGCAATGAACATTCATGATCTAGGAGTATGAAGCTGCAGTCTCATTCAAAACCATAAACTTTTACTCTGCTGCATTCGGTTCCTTCCATAATGCTGAATCTTAGAGGCAGCTCTGTTGTACTCAGTATTTTCTGGCAACTTTTTATTGCTCCATTTCTGCCTTACCTGGCAGAAAAAAGTACAGGCTCTTCTAAAGAACCTCTGCTCTTCCTGGTTAGCTCTCAAAGCTTCCTGCCTTACTGGCCATATTTGCTCCTAACACAACATGCATTAGGAACACGCACTGGGCGTGTTACCCTTCTTCAAGGACAGTAATGGTTTCTTGGACTTTTAGCAAAACAATAACCTCTGCCTATATATTGTTTTCAATCTTAGAGCTTCTTTCTTTACATTCCAGAGGAACTCAGATCAGATATTTGGAAACCCTCTAGGCAAAAAAACTGAGGAATCAAAACCAGGTATGGTATGAGAAATGGGTCTGTATTGAAGCAGAGAATGCATAAGTGACCAGTGTCAAGCAGGACACTGGCCTGCTTTGGAACGGGATTACGGAGCCTTTTGGGACAGTTCCAAGGATAGGTAGCTGGAACCTGTCAGAGATCAGTGGCTTGCTAATGCTGGGTGAGACGAAGTGAGGTGGGTTTAGAACAATTGCTCTTCCTCCTCCTTTGCCTGAGCTTTTACAGCTGAGCATGACATCATATGGTACGGAATATGCCCTTGGTCAGTTTGGGTCAATGGTCTCAGCTGTTGCCCACCTGCTTAATTTTTTAGGGCAGGGAAGAAGGGAAGAGAGAAAGCCTTGACCCTCTGCACGCTCTGTTCAGCGACAGCCTAAACTAACTGCTGTGCCCTCAGCTGTGTTTTAGCCACAATATCGAACCCCAGCACTGTAGAGACCCCTGTGAAGAAAGTTAACTCCTTCTCAGGCAGACCCAGTACAAATACACATGGAGCAAACATCTCAAATACCACGTCATTCTTCTCCAACACTGCCTAATTTCTATATTCTTCTGTCAGAGGCAGATATCAGATACTAGGTATCAGGACAAGTCTGTTCTTACATGGCTGTATTCATAAATGATGGAAAATAAAACTTCCTGTTTGTTCCATGCCAACACACACACAAAATCTTGACCTGGAGTACAAAGATCACCCTTTCTGAACACAGTTCTATTGTTCCAACAAAATGTTTAAAAGGCAGTAGATGTAAAAAGTCAGCATTAACTTTACCTTCTGTAGCACATAATTTATCTCTGCGACTATTGCTGCCAGGAGAGTAGAGAGTACACCTTGGTGAACTGCTGGGCACGATGAATGCCAGCACTGGACTGCATGTATGAATTCTCCCAAAGGCATTTGAATCAAGTGAACCAACTAAAACCAAAGAAAAACAGATCATTTTTTTCAGATTGCTTGAGTGCAATTGAAATATTTCAGCAAGCTTCTCTGTGAAGATCACACCTTGCAAGCTATTGAGGAATTCTAGTCACCTGGGATGAGAAAGAGAATCAGACACATGCTTGGGAAGTCTACTCATAAATTTGGGAGAAATAAACTAAACAACAGTTGTAACAAAAAAAGAACCAAAATGTTTTTCAGAAGTCCAGAAAAGCAGACCATCACATTTTCCAGAGTGATCCACCCATCTCATTACTATCTAGTCTCTGTTAGAAAATACAAGCTAACTTTTCTGTGAAGACACGATGTTTTGAAGAACTCTAGGACATCATACATATTTTGAAGCTGATATAATTTAGGCCAAAATAAATAAATAAAAGAACAACAATTTCTCCTCCCTCCCAAGATCATAATGTATACATAATCGAAGTCTTTGCTCTGGATTGAGCAAGCTCGTTTAATTGCAGATATGAGTAATCACCTATGAGTACAAGGGTAGTTCAGGATCATCAATCACAAAATGTATTGTTCTCCAAATTACTATTTTTTCTGTCATGACAAGAAAAAGAACGGATTAAAAAACCCCATTGGTAACAAGGAAATTTGGAAAACTTAACCGAAAATTTAATCAGCTGTTGACTTAAATAATAATAACCTCAAAGTGTCTAACACATTTGCATAAAAAATATGGACTCATCTACACATTAGGGAGCTATTTCAAGTGTAATACGATACCTGAATCCCTTCTTCCTGCTGTCTCTTGAGTCTCCGTGCCATGCATTCTAAAACTTTCTGGAAGACGGTCTGTACAGCATGGAAGAGATTTGCCACTTCATCTGTCTCAGCATTCCCAATTAAAGAAGCTTCAATAATTTCTTTTAGGATATACAGTAACATTGGAGCACAAAAGCCACCTCTCTCTAGCAAAAGAGATAAATATCACCATAGAAAAATTGTAATGAGACATTCTTCAGGTACAAGCTTAGAATGAAACTCAGTTATATACCATAAATAGCTATAGTTTACAAGTGTAGACAATATATTTAATTCTGAGCATCTTTAGCTGAACTTTTCATACAGTTCAATCAATATTTTAAGTATAAATCCAGCGTTCCTTCCAACTCTTGAAATATAGGGATTAAAATTGTAGATTCTTTAGGAATTGAGCTCTAATTCTGTTGTACGTGAGCCGAATTTAAATAGGGCTACAATGCTGTCTCTTAAGACATACTGATATATAAATATATATATATACATGAATATACATCTATCACTTTGTATATATATTTAAAACCACCTTCTATATATAAAAAACCCTGAATTATACAGTAATAACTGGAATCTAAGAACAAGGAAGAAACACTAGTTATCAACAGTGACATTGTTCTGGGTTGGTTCTCTGCTTGTTTTCAGTTTGAAATGCTGCTGTGACTCCTGACCTAATCACTGAATAGCTTGGGTTGGAAGGGACCTTTAAAGGTCATCTGGTATTTTATATATATATATATGTGTATATATATATCTTTTTCCCCATATTATTGGTACTAGCTAGCATAAGCTGTAAACACTATTTTTTGAGAACCAGACTCCAAAATGCTAAAAGCAACAGTTCTGCTGATATAAGTCAGCTAAGTGTGTATGGAGATGTTGATGTTGGAATGAGACACTGCACCTGTTTGTACAACTGAAAGGGCCATATCTAACAGCCGTGCTTGAAACGCGAGATCGCCAAGGCCAACCATGATGACATCTTTACACACCGTCAGGTAGGCCTAGAAAAGAGATGCAGAAGCATATGAGAAACAAAGTTTACATAAAGCAACTGTTCAGTAAAACCTAAAAATAATAAAACTACATAACCTTAGCCAAGCTGCCCTGAAAGCTGGTGCATCTACTTGGAGTTACTCAGTTTGCAATTTTTGAAAAGCAGGAGTTTCCAAACAGTTTTCCAAACGCTTCCAATGCCCTTTCCTCCAGTAAAATTTTCTCAAAAGGCAGTAAATCCTCGACCTTTTTTTTACTCAGGCTCAGAGGCATTGATACTTAACATTTACCAAGGCAGAATATGACACCTCTCTCTATCTTGAATAGCAAAATTAAAAAGAACATACAAAAAGAGCTTTTCCTTACAGACAAACACACACGTTACATACTAAATAGATTCTAATACTAATGTATAGACAGAGTAGAGAATTTTTAACCAGTCTATGTATACGTGAGCTGGGTTGTTCAAGGACACTGACTGCAACTAAAGTCCAGCTCTTACCCTTGACCAAAATCTGAAAGGACCCATGGCTCAGTGCTAAAATCCACCTTGGGTTAAGTACTGTGTCACAAGAATGTAATAGAAGACAATTCAAAACTAGCTAAAAACCACCCATTTCATATAATCAAATGCTTTTTGTGAAGGGCAAATGAAGATAAGGGGTAAGGGACACCATCAGTGACAACACTAGGGTTTGTGTCAAAGGGCCTGTCATCCCCACTCAACAAACCAGTGGCCTAGAGAGAACAGCCCCCCAGCGAATCCCTGCCCAAAACAGCAACTGCAAAATTGAGTTACAGACCATGCTTGAAGGAAGGGTGAATTGGGAAGACTGGGATATGTTGCAGGAAAAGTGATAGAGAAATGTAAGTGGAAAAAGAAGAGACGCCCTGGTCCCCACTCACATACAACAGTATTAAAGAAGCAATTGTAATTATTGTATATTATATGGATATTTTGAGACAAAGTAGGCACTTTTAATGGCAGCATTGCTACCAAATACACACTCCAAACAATTAAAAAGCACAACCAATACCTCATTCCTATAAAAAAACAGTATACAAAGTGAGAAGCAAATAGCTAGGTCCACTTTTAATGGCAGCATTGCCACCAAATACATACTCCAAACAATTAAAAAGCACAACCAATACCTCATTCCTATAAAAAAACAGTATACAAAGTGAGAAGCAAATAGGAGCTGCTTAGCAAGCGTGTGGTTTATTACAAGAGATGCAAAAGGCCTGGATTCTCTTCTTGACTTCCAGACAAGTCACATCAGTCTTTACACCTCAGTTTCTTCTCTGGAAATAATGATGGAAATAGACATTAAGATCTACTAGTAAAGGTTGTTGTGTTTCATTATTGGCTAGTCAATTAACGTACCAGATGGGTTTAAAGGTGAAAACTGCCTATCTTATTGCTTATCAATACATTTGCATTTCCATTATGTATTCAAGCTTAGGAAACTTATCGCAAACATCCTGGTAATGCTGGTAAAGATTCCCTATTTTGTATTTTGTCTTTCTATAAGGTTGAGTTCTGTGCCTCCAAACTTTTGAAAAATAGCCATAAAGGAGTTATGATACGTATACTAAATTTTTCACTCAGATAGAAGAGAGACAATACCACGTAAAACACACAAGAAACCTGTACCAGGAACAAGTACAACACTTATTTGAGTTTACTATTTCTTTATGCTTTTCAAAAAGTGATTTGGCTGCAGCAGCAGGATTTACTACAAGACTGATGTTATTATTAAATTCCCAGGTAAATCATACCCTTCCTTCTCTGCTGACTTTCAAAGATACGTTCTGTGGGACTCAGCTCTAGAACAAAGCACACTGAACTCCTCAAGGTATAATTTTACATATTTCTTTTGGGTAAGCAGGAAGGCAAGAAAGGAAGGAAGGAAGCAAGCAAGCAAACATGATTAGGTGTAAATCCTCTCTCATAATGACACCATCTTCCTGGTCCTCTAAGTCATCTATTGTGCTATTCAACACAATGAATGCAGCTGCAGTGATTCTAGGTTGTTTCCAGAACCTTCCATGCTACAGAAGAACAGGCTATTAAGCGCTAACGAAGCACGTAACTATATCCTTGTTTTCAGCAACTAATTTTCTTCTTTTCAGAACTCAGATTCAGTGACAATCTTAACTTTATGTTAATGCACTTTTAATAAAACAGTATGAACATAAAACAGTATAAACATTACCGTTATTTAATATGAGGGATAAGAGACTGAAGATAAGAATTACTTGTTAGAAACCTAAAATTTGGGAGAGCCAGGTTACATTCCTTGCTGTGCTAGAAATCTCTTGTGTGAGCATTTTCATCTCCCATTCACTTGCTCCAAAAACTCCAGTGTGCTACCCTTGCCAGTATACAATTGCTACGCATACGGCTTTTCAGATTGGCAGAGTTGGATTTACATTATAAGAGACCTCTAACCTGGATAATTAATTCAGAAACATTACTGTGGTTTGGAATGCCATCCTCTTGATTGCTTGCTAGTATAAAAGGCACAACTTGACTTTCTATCCAAGCACCTGTCTCCTTCAGAAGAGAGAGGTAATCTTCTCCTTCTTCAGAAAACTGGAAAAAAAAAATATCAGGAGTTTATCATTGGTCTTTCCAATTCTTCTGGGATTTCCTTTTGCTGTCAGATGTAATCCCAGCTTATACTGAAAAGGTAGAACCATACCTTGTTCTGAAGATGAACACTCAACCTGCAAAAGAGGCTGAAGGCTCTTAGGCTGGTTGCTTGACTGCAGCTACCACAATCTGCATCAGCTGCTTTCAGAATTGAGTCAAGAACCTCCTGAAACACCAAGGTTTACATTTATATTTTCCAGAAAATCTTTTCAAATATGTCTTTTCTCAGCAGTTTTAAACAAAAGATTTTAAAAATACCAAACCACCAAACCTCCCAAAAAAACAAACCTAAAAAAAACCCCAAAACTACAAACCCAACATGCTTACTTTCAATTACTCTCATTTTGCAACTGATTTTCAGATTATTCCTTACACACACATTCCAAAATTCAAGTCCCTTAGAAATGCTCAACACTAGATCACAACAATTTTGAAACACCTAAAAATAACAATGCTGGTTAAAATCTGCCATCTACAAACAACTCTGAACTAGTATACTTCTAGTTCAGAATATTTATTTGAAGTACAAATATAAAGGATAACCTTTTTATGGAGGGGGAAAAAGGGATCCTGAATCTTATTTACTTATTCTTGCAGGTCTGTAATGTAACTCGGGCAGTCTATGATGTTAAGCACTCTTTTATAAGCATTGTTTGTGGTAAAGAGTATACTACCTTTGCCGCACTGAGAATTTTCAAAAGCTTCTTCAGTTTCTTTTTAGGAACAGAGAGTAGGCAATGACGATTAAAAGGATGAGTCAATAAATATTCAATGTAATCAATTGCTAATTCTGGCTTCGATTCTTGTGTTACATGGATACGTACTCGTCGTTCGGTTGTTTTAATATTCTAAATGAGAAGAAAGCACAAAGACAGTACAAAACTGTTAGTATCTTACTTTACAACTAGTTTCAAAGCAGAATAATATGGCATTAAAGCAGCTTCTTCTGTTAAAAAAAAAAAAAGCATGATGTCTTTATGTAATCTAGCAATTCCTGAATTCTTTGACATATGCATATGCCCACCTTTTTGGGGGTTAGCACTTCAGACAGCCAATCACAGGCTAATTCCATAATGTGTCCCACTTGACCCCAGCGACACATGCAGTCTATCAGGGTTGAATATCTGCTTTGGTCAGCTCCATTGTCAATATTTCTCAGTCTGGAGATCACACCATAGCTTAAAAGAAAACAAACAAATGAGATGCATTAGCTTTACCTCCATTAGTGCAGGAATAATTCAAAGAAAACCAATCAGTATAATACCAAAAAAAAGATTCACTAATGGCTCAAAGGCATATTTACACCTCACAGATTTTACTAACTTTTTCTTTTTTTGTTTAGTGGATAATTTTATCCAAATGGGCATTTAATATGTTGAGTTGTGAAAAATTAACAAATACAGTCAACAAGAGATTTCTTGTCATTCTTATTTTGGATTTAAAAATAGTACCTGAATGTAGGAACAGCAGCAGGGGGCATAAAGGATGCCAGAATAACCAATGGAGTCACACAACGCTCATCCTGGGATAAAAAAAAAAGTAAAGTATGATTACATTATCTCAAATTAAGGATTTCCCTTTTTCACTAGAAATGGAACTGAAAGAAGCTCATAACAACACGTGGATTGCAATCTGAAACTTCTGATTGCTATTCTCAGAGGTCAATTATCAATTATCTTATCATTCAGCTTTCTGACAAACTGTCAGAACAACTACCATGGATAATTATGGCACCATTAGCTTAATAACCATTGCAAAAGAAATAACAGCTCTAGCTTCCATTTTCTCTAGTAGAGGCTAATATTTAATTGCACAATCACGACACCATCTAAGTCCTCTTAGCCTTAAATGAATATTCATTCCCATCAGATATTTAAAAAAACACTGTAAAGGAAAGCGTGCTTCCTTAACAACGGTAATGTAAAATGCATTACAAGTTGTTAAAACACACAAGGTCTAGACCATGACACAGTCTCACTCAGATTATATAGAAAACAATCTAAGTGAAAGGCTCTTCAAAAATAGTATGCTATACTATATAGTCCAAGCTTCATGAATACATTCAAATGAAATTATTACCTACTTAGACATTTGGAGAGCTAAAACTTTTTAAAGATGATTTTTTAAAGTACATTCGAAAACGTATTTGTAGCTTTGCAGGAAAGAGACACACTGCTTCAATCTGTAGTCTTTTAAAAACTAAGCCTCTAATGACAGGTCTTTTTAGATCCAAGCTGCTTACTCACTGTAAGAATATCAAAGTCAAAGAGGTTGCTTGCTAAAGCTGGTTATCTTGTCTGCACACCAGAACCTTTCAGGAGGGACGGTACATCCTCTACCAAAACACGTTTGGAATGTCTTTGACAACTTCCAAATATTTTCAGGGTAAAGAGAGCATTTGCTATATCTGTGCTGCAGAATACTATGTAGCAATGAATTGCTTTCCACTCCCTGATTATCTAAAGCAAACCTGAATGTTGTTAAATATAACAGCTGGCATAATTCAGTGTACTTCAGCATAAAAGTCATAAACAAAAAAAGAAATGTCCAGTAGATAATCCTTCTCAATGCACTACAGGATGCAGAAGATACTACTAACCACTGTCAAAAGATAGCATCCTGAGGAATAGCACTAGAACAATTAAAAAGATCAAGGAGACTGAAAGTAACTGATTTTAATTGTTACATCAATACCAAACAATAGATAAGTGCATCCAAAAATCATTAGAGAGTAGAATCAAATTGGCAGAAACCAAACACAAGAAGGTGAAAAAGGAGCCTCAGCTGCTCCAGCTGCCTGTTCCAGCAGCTGGATCACAATAGGAAGCGGTGGTGGTAGAGGAGTTTGGGAAAAACAGGTGAAAGACCACGTGGACTCTCATCTACACTGAGTATTTATTCTGCAATGGCATATTTTTGGTTACTGATTTCCAAAAGTTCCAAAAACATTCAAAAGAATGGAATCCTGTAAAAACATTACAAGGAGAACAATTTACTGCAGAAGTATTTCTGAGCTGACTATTTAGATAACAATTCATCAGTCAGATACTGCAATTGTAGAAGAGCTTTTATCCATTTTGGAATTCCAGGAAACTTGCTATTGCTTATGGTTTATAGCAACAATGAGAAAGAATACTTACTGCCATGAACACAGCTAAAAGACATAACACATGAAAGCATCTGAAGAAAATGCGAAGCGCTTACAGGAAAATCTAGGCTTTCTTTACCTTAAACACTTTAAAATATTCAGGAAGTACAGAAGCAAATTTTCTGATAGTGTACTCTTTGGCCTCTTCGTTGTGATCTAGTGCTTTCTGAATACTTCTCCAGAGAATTACAGTAATCTCCAATAAACTCACCATGGTGGCCACGTCGTTTATTGACAACATATTATTCAACACCTGAAATACAAACACTTGGATGATATTACCTATTACATTCCCACATATAAATTCAGGTTAAAATAAGGTTTCAAAATACCCCTTAAAATCCCTCTATTCATTTCACAAAGGCATTGAGTTTGTTGTAGAATGTGAACTCAACAATTCATTCTTACTCTCTCCATATAACTTGAGTCATCTTGCGACATTAATTTTTTAAATATTTTGTTTGCAGAATCAATCCAATTTATAATTAGTACTTGAATTAGGGAAGCATTCATTTAAAATATGCTTCATATTTCTTTTTATTCTAGCTCCTTCACCAAATGTCTGCTACTGCAGGGCATGAAAACACCATAATGACACTTCTCCCCTTCTAATTCCACAGATGCCCAAGTGCTTTCCTTCAGATTACTGTCCCCTCGTTAACTGCCTATGTCTCAAACTAAGCACCACAGAAAAAAAGTTACCAGAACTTATAAAGTGGACTTTCTTACACTTGTATTCTCCTTTTCACTTTCACCATCATCATCATCACTATCATGAAGACTCTCTTTCATTGCTTTCTGGATGCATGCATTCAAGCAGCGCCGAATAGTAAGCATCAATTTTGCTACATTTAAATATAAGAAGAATAAATTAGACAATTACTCTTTGTTGAAGAACATTGCTAGTAAATACTTTGAAGTGTAATGCTGGAAATCCAATATGAAAAGTAGGCAACAGAACCAGAAATAACTAGGAAAAAAAAAATACCAAATTTCCTGGTAAAAGGAAATGGAAAGAGTGTGAAAATGCTTCATATCTTCAAGTAGGAAAAAGAAATGGCAACATTATCACCAGCTTCTATAATTTTATTGTTTAAAAAAAAGCCTACTTAAAAAACTACCCCAACTACAACCTTATCAAGTCAGGATCAGAAGGAGCTCCCACAACTCCTACATTCATCTAGCATAGTTATTCACTTAATGACCTTTGTTGGGTAATACATTCCCTCCAATGACAATCCAATTATTTATAAAAGATGTAGTAACCTGACCATTGCATTCCTTAATGAGAAGCTCATCTCTAGATAAAAGTGAAAGGATTATGTCCACTCTGGTGAAAGTATGACTAGCTAAAATACACTTGCACATGTTATTTCAAAACTACCTTACCAAGGTGATGTGATCTGTGAAGGGGCAATGCTTTGGGCATTTTACCCAAGTCACTCCATGCTGACTATTTTGTTTTTATAGTACCAGAACTCCTCTGAAACAAAATTTTCCCAATTTTACTTGGTTCAATAGCACTTTTATAAAAAAAAGCTATACTCTGTGCAGTACATATCCTTTTCACTAGAGGTTTCCGAAGCTTTTAAACGGGAAGGAGAGCTTTTCAGATTTCATTTGAGCAAATTGAAAATACTACTGATCCACAAATTTCAGATAATGGGATTATCGGACATAAGTATTTTTCATCTTCTATAGAATCTCCCACATAAAGGTATCAAATCATTTGAGACACCAGGGTATTTTATTTCAATATTTCTACATGATCAATAAATATTGATTCAGATATTAGATCATCTTAGTTTTAAGGTCCATGTGAGGAGAAGGGGTAAAAAGAGGGACCGGAGATATCTGCTAGAGAGCATAGTACCACATCTAAGAGCAGAAACAAAAAGCTTTGGTCTCCTCATTATTGAAAAAGTTTATGGCTGCTGTCACCAGAGTTCATTGCTGGTGTCAAGAATTAAAAAAAAAAAACAAACCCTACAAATACAAAATTTTACTAAAACAAAAAGATCAAGCAACAATGTACCACTCTTAGAGAAAAAAATCTAAAAAAGCAATTACATGGTGTGGTATTCGTATTTCCAAAGACTTTTAAGGTTTTGTACTTTACCTATATTTGTAGGGGCAGTATATTCATAAGCATATTGATAGAACTTCCTCGCTGCTGCTGAATTCATCTGGATGAGAGTAACACAGCGCTCACACCACACATCCTCAGGGTGGTTAATGGGAAAGAAAGAGTTGAATAAGAGATTGACTATGCGGCGCGACACGGGCCGTGAATCAGCTTCAAGACGGGCCAGAAGATGCTCCATGGGACAGATTTTCCAGAACTTTTTAAAGAGAGAAAAATACATTAAAGGAGTTAAAAAAAAAAAAAAAAAAAAAAAAGCCACCTTATTAAATGCTGTTTATATCAAAATCTCAACAAATATAAATAGCATTTACCAGAAAAGCTTAAGCATTTTTTAATTTTTACCAAAATACCAGCATTTACTTGAGGTCACATATTGCTGCAACAATGCTGCTTTACTGTTCTGACGCACCTCTACAGCTCCTGGTATCTCTGACAGACCAGTAAAATTTTGGTTCAAGCAATTCCAGCTCAATATACCTGCAATGCTAATTTAATTCCATGGGTATAGGGAAGAATTATTTACTCTACAAGGATATCACCACAAAAATATAATTATTTGTGGAGAAAAAGCTCAAAGCTGCTATAATGCCTAAGGCTGAACAGTAGCACCCTAAATAAAGAGTTCACAGCAGAACAAAAAATTCGTTCAAAATCACTATAAAAAGATAACAAAATCCCAAAGGACATGCCCACAGAAGACAAATAGAAATTATAAAAATAGGTAAGTAAATCTAAAAAAGCGATTTGGTAAAAGCATTAAGGATTTGGAAGGTGAGAGAGTCCTGACTTGAGCTAGCTCATGGGAAGGAAGCGTGGTGGGACTGACTGCTCTGCCCTGGCACGGCCAGGAGAGGACAGGAACATGCTGAGACAGGTCTGTTGAGCGCTTGGGATGCCAGTTGCCACTGGAAAAAAGCAAGCAAGCAAGGAGAGGCCACTGCACCTACTAATCATCACAAACCTGTCAAAAATCAGGGGAAAAGGAGAAGCGTGTACTTGGCTCAACTAAAAAGCAAGCTTTCTAGCATGTTTATAAAATCTCTGCTGTAGTAATATCCAGATACAGCACTATCTCATATACTTCATTTTTCTGTGAAGAAAGGCTGAAAGCGAGAGGCCACTGGACCTACTAATCATCACAAACCTGTCAAAAATCAGGGGAAAAGGAGAAGCGTGTACTTGGCTCAACTAAAAAGCAAGCTTTCTAGCATGTTTATAAAATCTCTGCTGTAGTAATATCCAGATACAGCACTATCTCATATACTTCATTTTTCTGTGAAGAAAGGCTGAAAGCACGCCAGGACTAGTCGCAATTTCTTTCTTTATTTAAAAAGATTTTTCATAGACACCATTATTTCATTAGAATTCACAAAACTACTGGAAAGAAGTACTTTTATACTACTACCTACATTTGGATCAAAACCTTTAAAATGGGCAGAGGTGACTAACAGCAACAGAATCCACAAGTCTTAGAAATAAACTTGGCCATATGCTTAAATATATGAAGAGGAGAAAAACTGAAGTTAAGAGTCTTACTACTTAAATATATCCTTTTCCTTTTAGGAATACTGAAGTAGTCTCAAAAGGTACTTTTTTTTTTTAGATAAATGCCTTGATTTTATCTCTTTCTTGCAACTAATCAAGTGTCAGTTATCCTACCTTAGCAGCCTTGGTAGCCTTGACTTTCAGCAGCATATCAACAAAAGCCACCCGCACTTTCTCTGAATTGTCATGAAGACTGTGTTTGGCTGCTGGCAGGAGCTGTTCCAGTAATGGGTGGCTTAGCTTGTTGTCCAAAATTAATGGTATGCACTGCAAGAAAAAAAGTTTATGTTAAAAAAATAAATAAATTTAAAGAGTAGATTTGCAAAAAGATTTAGCTAAAAGTTGTTGAAGTGGAGCATGACACTTCTAAGGTTAAATTCAGTAGGGACAGACACTGTGCATGCATATTTTTCTTGTAATATTCTGTAGTAAAAATTCCCATGGTTATTTCATATTTCCAGTGAACTGTGTTCACTCAACTTATTTCAGACGAAGCAGCTTCAGATCTACACTGAGGCCACAGTCTTGCCTTCTACCTGAGGACCCAGCATCAAGTATTTTTTGTGGTAGAAATACCAGCTCCCCAAATTCCGCTGATTTCAGATTAAAAAAAACATCTTTTTTTTGCCAAGTTATTTCTAAATCGGCACTTTCTGCTTATGCAGTATAGACCCCCATGCAGCTGTAGTGGAGCAAGTGAAGACAGCTCCAAATTAAGGCTGAATTGACACAGACACTAAATTTTTAAGAAAAAATACTGCTTAGAGACTTCATTTTTCACTCTAACCTGTTAGTTATTTACCAAATGCTACATAGTTGTATATGAACTAATCCTAACATACATGCTGGCATGGGAGGCCAGCATTTCCAGAAAAACAGTTTGAAATTATATTAATCCAAACCTCAGAAACACCAAGTGGGGTACAAAACCATAACATAATTGTGCACGTCTAGGGATGGGTTAAAACAGAAACATACTGGAACCTGCCTGCATATATTTTCGAGTCTAAGCATAACTTGTAATAGCAAAAATAACTACATTATCAGGGCCAAACAATGTATTGCAAGACTAGAAATGCAAAGTGGTTGAGAATCACAAAGCCAAGCACTCACTATTTAGAAGACATTTGTTCATCCCAAATGTATGGCTTTTATAAAGAGTGTACAACATTTGCGTGTATTAGGAACTTCATTGCATAAGTCATTTTGCAGAACAAGTAATTACCTTGACTTAAGTGTTCTATACTATAAACTTGTGCATCAAGTAAAACATAAAAATGACAATCATGATTTTAAATTCAGAAAAAAATGATTTACTTTAAAAACAGAGCATCGAACATCAGCAGATGTTATATCACATGCCAGCTCTTCAGTTAGTTTTTTTAAAAGATCAGCAAGAATTGTTGGAGGAATCATCTCCCAGTATCTGGATGTTATCTGAGTAACTCCGAGTATCCCTGTAGAGCGGACAACTGGATGAGGATCTTCTAAGAGATTCTAAAACAAACATAAGAATAATACTGTTGAGTATATGTATTTTTGTGATTCTACTGCTGTTTGACATAAACCTACCATAAACAAATAGCAGTTACCTTTTCATCATTATGCAAATCGTCGTACTATGAAAGAAATGTAATATTAACATTCCCTCAAGGCATTTCATTATGAAGCAAACCGGGAAATTCAAACCAGAAGCAAAATTAAGATAAGTATTGACCAATTTTTTTCAATTGAACTTTTGAAATATTTTTTTTTAAAAACAGCTCACATTATGTTTTGCATCTGTGATTTAATTAAGAATATTTAGACTTCCATTTGACTTCTATTTATACATGAGCTTACACTGGCCACTGTTCCTTTATAACAATATAAAAACTTTGAAATTCATTCAATAATCTAATGTTTAAAGACCACACTCAGGATTTTCCAAACATTTTCTTAATGACAATACTATGCCCATTCTCACCCATCTAGACTGGTAAAAAATTTTTTAGGTTGCTATCTCCATTATAGTTCATTTCAAAATATTTAGTAATACAGTACTTCTACTGAATGCTCACATATTAAATGTAAAGTTCTCTTCACCAATACTAGGCTAAGTAAGGCTCAAGATCCATTACTCATGCATCTTGTATTTCAAAAGCATCTTTCATTTACAGATTAAAGAATAACAATACCAAACATTTCCTTTTCAGAGTTGAAAATGGTGTGTGTCATTTGCTGTCAATTTAAAATATTACTTTTGCATTTTCTGCATCACAAGCCTGCATTTCCCTATGAATTCTACCCTGTAATTTCATAAATTTTAATTGCATCAACTACTTATTTTTGAGTTAGTTTTGATGAAATTTTCATTTTTAACATTTTGGTTTCATTAAAACTTACAAAAAGTTCTTCAAACTGTTTCTGAATTTCGTTCTCCATTTCTTCAGTGTTAAAACTGGGATCACGAATAGGAAAAGCATCAACAAACAAAAATGCTGCATTTGATCGAACTTCTGAGTTTCTGGCCTGTTACAACGAAGGAAATAAATATTTTTTAAGTAAGTACCAACTTTTAATATCAAAAAGGCATATCCTGTCAAATACTGCTCTTCAAACACTTCTGGCAAGTTAGTATTTTTAATTAAGTAGATGGAAGAGATGAATTTTTAAATGGCACTTTTTAATAAGTATGAAAGAACTTATAGTAATATATGATTTTTATTTTTTTTACCTTATGTTTCTGCCCATTCAGTAAAATCTCAGTTATTAGTACAATCAGCTTTCAAGGCATATCAACTTCAGTGACCCTGAAGAGTCACAGTCAGAGCCCTTCTGCTCTCTGTAATGCTGAATAAATTAAAAGCAATTGGTTTTCTCTTGGTCACCTCAGAGCTCCTCTTCAGAATACAAGAATCTTGAATTCAAGCAGACTTAATTAATTAAATTGCCTGTCAAGAGACAGGCATTTTAATTGAAAAGCTCAGGCATATTTCTTCAAGAAAACAGTATTTAGAAACCAAGTACCAGCAAGCCTGGAGAGTAATGGATCCAGCATAAGCATATTCAGTTCTGCATCTATGCATGTAAGTAATAGGACCATGTTCTGAGCTCCAGGCAGCTCATCAAAAATCTAAGGCAAGCCTCGTAACCCTCAGACATTTTACCATTTGTCATAGTTTTCAGTGTGTTACACTATTCCTTTCACTGGTTGTAGAAACCCAAACGTAAAGAAAAATTTAAAAATTTATGTTTAGACACTCAGTGAAAAATAATTAACCCTGTGGACTCTTAAAGGATAGAAAAAGAGAGCAGGCAATGAAATGAAGATGAAATTAAAGGTATCTCAGGGAAAAACCTGAAATCTAACCATCAGACTACACTTTTTTTTAACACAGTAGTGCAATGATAAGAGCCTCTGCTCCTTTCTCTTGGAAGAAAGAATTTTGTTCAAATTTGGGGTCCAAATTAAAACAAGCATACATGTAGATATATGAGACTACATATATATACAATCTAATAAGCCAAGCAAAGTAGGCTTAATTTTAACAGCAAGGTAAAAGACAATTCAGGGAACCTTCTGACTGTTCTATCCATCCAATTTTTTTTTCTCCCTTCTCATAAGAGACATTCAGATCAAAGGCAGGAAAAATTAAGACAAGGATAACTACATAATATTTAGAACTAAATATACTAATGGCAAATAAAAACAGAAAAACACAAAAGAAATGAGCAACAATTACTTCATTTACAATTTATTTTCTATTTTCTTTCTGGACTGTTCTTCATATGGTGGTTCCCAATTCTGGGAAGAACCAAAAAAATTCCAAATTCTTTGAGCCAACAAAATTATTAGGAATTCTAATTTTAATACTATTAAGGCAAATAAAGCTCATCTATACATTCTTTGTTTAGGGACTTGCATTTTACTTTATCAGGGATATACAATTTATAATTCTTCATTCAATCCTATAAAGCTGTACAAAATCCTTTAATTTTGATCTTGTCTATATTGGAGAAGTAATGCATAACAAGCTAATATGTGAATTCAGGGTGAAATAGCTCTTCTGCACTAGTATTTCATGTGAAAATTAATTCAAGTATGTTTTTGTGCAATAACCTAGACCTTGTCTACCACAGCCATTCCAGAAAGTTAATTTTCATGAACTTCCAAAGTGCATTACACTGAATTCCATTAAGCTCACTTTACTTCTGAACTGAGTACCCAGTTTAAATTCCTGCCTTAAATAATTGGAATTTATCCCAAATGTATTTGCATATTCAAGCTCATAAAAGAATAAATGTCTTCACAGAGGTAGAACCCCGGACTTTATATCCATATTCTATTTTATTCCGCACTGACTTTTGCATGCAGAGGAGCCTGCAGTTATTTAAATGACTAATGTTTCTTTACCTTTATGCTTGTGCTATTCTGAGGAAATTTCAGAAAGTTTTTAAACAATATTTTAATTTTTTTGTTCAGTTAGTTTTCAGAGCTTTTTTTTAAGTGACAGGTCCTGAAATTCACTTCTAATTATTTAAAACACTGTTTTTCCCCAGTAGAAGTTAGTTTAAATGTGGAATGATAAAAACACCCAAACACACAAAATACTTTAAAGGAATCACTTCCTTCAACAGCTTGAATTCCTGGAGGAGTGGTTCTTGACTTTTTGAGCTTGATAAGAAATAGCTTAATCACTACTTATCTCACAATAAATATCCGTATTTTTATATTTATATAACTTCTTATACTAATAACCAATCACTGCAGAACCACCTCTGCTATGTTGGCATGAGACTTACTTTTCAGAATAAAGTCATGAAAAAAGATGAAGAAGTTACATAAGGGCTTATATTTTAAAAACTTAAAGTTGCATAAAGGCTTATAAAACGTGTGTAGGTAAAAGCTACAAAGGAAGCTTGTGCGATTTAAATATTTGCAAAACAAGCAATTTAAGAAGAAACCAAGAACTATGCATGACAACCATGCATTACAGATTGCAGAGATGAAATGAAGCAGTTTCAACATGAACAGTTCTGGGATCCTTTGAATTCTTACAATTGAGATATTTTTCCTTTCTGCAAGGAGGAGCGCTGAAGAGCTCCTTCTCAGAGTTCCCTTCACTTTATAACCAGTGTTCTAGAACAAGATTTGTTCTTCACTATATTAAATTAGGGATTTGTACACTGACTAAAATAGGAGCATCAAACTGGTTATTTAAAATTGAACTGACATTTCAAGCTTTGCAGCAGAATCCATACCAGTAAGGACAATTATAGCCCTCCCTTCTTAGTTCCGTATCTTAAACTACTGATGATTCTGAATGACAGCAACAGTTATCTTAAAAATGACAAATACTTCAGGAGTAGTATATGAAAAAGAAAATTTAACTATACAAAAGTCATACAGCAAGACAGTGGCCTATACAAAAATGAATTGCCAGATTTTGACATTCAGTCACATATTTCTTTTTACCAATCACAAATATGGTACTGAATCATTTGGAATTCAGAATCTTTCTTTGCCGTGAATCATTATGTGATTCATATAATTGCTGCATTCGATTTTTCACAATCCTCCCTTTACCATTCTGAAATCTATGCTCACAACAGTTGGACTATTTTACTGTATTAAAACAAGTTCTCCATGACCTATTTGATACGCTTGTTAAAATCTAAGCTTCAAGTGCTTAACTACATATGTAGAAGCTGTCAAAAATGAAACAAACAAAAAAACCCAACCAAACAAAGAAGAAATCCAAAAAAACCTTCCTAAAATTCAGATTTGTTTTAGCAATGGAACCATCAGTGATGTGAACATTATGAATAGCAGCTGTTAAAAACTTGAACCACTTCTGGAATCAGGTATTTCTCCCACTGTCTTGCTGCAAATCAATAATGAACCTTTTTCCCCCTCAATCCAAAGCTTTCTGTTACATTTCTTCAAACAAATCTATGCACATTTAATAAGCTGTGACAGAATGTTCATCTGAAGCACTCTAATCTTATATTTGAATTAAGTCTTGGGCTTTGGAAAGTGTACTACTAGTCTCCACTTACAGATAACAACTCCCTTAAGGATGGAATGCCATGTTTTGCTCATCACTCCAAAATTGTTTCTGATCTACTAGTCAGAAATTGTGCTATACTACCAAAAATCAATTAAAAACCTTATTCTCTTTAGCCTTGCTTTGTAACTATTATTTTCTTGCACTGAGAACATGTTTCATCCAGAGGGATCCTTGTTTATATTCATTCTAAAGGGATGAGATCCAACCCTTAATGTAAGGCCAACCAAGATACTGGTGTAGTGATAAGTCTGTTCATCTTCCCGCTTCTACCATAGTGTTCTACTGAAAACAAATAGCACTCTACTTCTTTCTGTAACTCATAAAATCCATTTTAAACATACTTGTTTTAAAATATTTTCAACTGTAAGATTTTTTAAATATTTCTCTCATGACTAGAGAAGATGCTATATAACCAATCAGTAAATGAAACTTCAGTAAATATTTAACAGCACTTAATTTGGCTGTGACAAACGGTACGTGTATGCTCTCATCAAAGGAATTTCATAACCACAAACAACACACAGGCTGTTCACAAAGAAGGAAGCTTGATTCATCTTGATCATAAAGTGTAACTGAGCAGGTAAACTGCAGCAGGTGCCCTTTAGCTTGCGCATGCAATCCACAGGAAGACACACACCTTACAAGCACTGGAAGTCAGACATTTCATCCTGAATGTCCACAGCACGAATGTCTCTACATACAGTCAAACTAGAATAATACTCTAATAATTAATGGTAATTAATCAGAAGGTGGGACTAAATCATATTAATTGAGCTGTATTCTAAGGCTGGTAATTAATCAGAAGGTGGGACTAAATCAGCCGCTCAACATTTCTGGCTTTCAGAGTCAATGAAGCACTGATCACTCAATAAAGATCTTGGAAAACAGAATACATGGTTATGTAAAATTCCCAAGCTGAGAAGATGAGAACACCAAACTTCTTGTTAGACCTACTGTGCACTGCAATCCTGGAAAGCACTACGTTTACCTGTAAACAAAACTGAACTACAGAAGTAAATTACATTAACAAATTAGAATATTGTTGTGCAAACCATGTCTAATTACAACTTGCAAAGTTACTCTGCTACAGCTGAGATGCTAAACACACTGATATTTTTTTCTACAGCCAGAAGCAATTACTAAAACCAGAACACGTGGGAGAGACCGAAAATTTAGTTGTTGGGGAAAGACGGTCTGTTTTCTGAAAGGATAATTACCTTCAGTGCTCTCCAAAGGATGGGTCGATACAATCTATAGAGCACTTCTTCAACTCCTTGACGAACTTTACTTTGTTTATGAAAATAACTCAGCATCTGAAAAAAACAAATAAATCCCCAAAAACATTTTTAACAGTACTTTCTACATTCAAGGAGTTGTCTCATTTCATCATTTATGTAAGACCAAAGAGTTTTCCATACTACGGAGAATGATAAAACTAGACAATATTAATTGACCCTATATTGTATTTAAAAGTCTCAAAAATCATTAAAAAAGACATAGATCTAATAAATATCACATTTTATAACTTTATAGATTCAATAAATCTATATAAAGATCTACAACTGAGAAATAAAATCACGGCTAGAGACTCAGTTTCCCATCAACTCCTCATTTTTAGTTATAATAAAAAACTACCATTATTAAAGTAACTGGCAGAAATAATTTGAAACTGTGTAATTATCAACTACAGATAAATAAGCCATTTCTCTGTTAAAAACAAAGGAACATTATTTGGTGACTAGGACTATCCAAATACAAATCTACAAACATAATAGATTTTTATGCATTGATGAAAAGCAAGTATGAGCACTCCTTGTGACTCAGAACTGTGCTCGGGTAGATAAAACACCTTTTATTTTTGTATCTGACTTACACAGTCAAAAAGGGAAAGTAGAAGACAAGAGAAGAATATGAGAAAGGACATCAGGACATTCCTCCACCCAAAACAGTGGACAGTGGGAAAATAAGTTGACCCTCTAGTGGTCAATCCCTTCAGATATTCACAGCTCCAGCCAGACAGGGAATCTATCTGTGAATAGCATCTATAGAAACAACATTCTAGTGAAAGAATCCCTTTTCTCTAGTTTTGAAATATACTGAAGTAAAGACATGGTACAATTTATAAGAGACTATGTAGCTTTTATTTATATGTGAGAATGATGGATCTAACCCAGGATTAATGGTAAATCGGTACTGTTTGGTAATAGAGTGCATTACTAGAGTAATATCAGATATTTGCAAAATGGACATTGGTTTTATAATCAGAACTTTGAATTCAGAAGGGAGAGTTGTACGTGTTGCTTCCTCCCTGCCCCTCCTCTACTCTTTCAATAAAATAGCTCAAACTGCTCAAGGGAATGACTGTGGTCCGCTACTCTCCTAATTGCTACAGGAGCTTCTGGATTCTAAAGGACCATTTTAAATCAAATTATTTCATACTGTAAAGGGCGCATCATTCAAATTTATTTTAAGACCCACTTCTCCACAACTCAAAACAGATTTATTCACATCACTGTCCTCTTTCAAGATCATAAGCTTCTGAATCTGAACAACTTGAAATGCCCTGTCAAGCCTACTCCATCAATCAGGAATCAGAGGAAAAGAGAATCCACTATAGATATGAGAACGTATGTATTTTTGATTAAAAACAGAAAAAAACCAACCCAAATTTAAAAAAACCAAAACAATATGGGATCGTATACTGGTATATCAAGCTGTATGTTGCACATACTGTACACTCTACCTTCCATATATTTGGGGGAAAGCATGGGAAGTGAAAGGGCGTAGATCAAATGCAAATGCCTTGTCATGAAAAGCGTTGTGCACTTTGCATTCTGCTTCAAATGTTTTGCTCATGAATAAAAGGCAGAGATAGACAATAAGAATTTGTAACTGTATCAAGGCATGTCTCTATAAACATATATACAGAGCCCTCATAAATAACAAAAAGAAAAAACAAATTTAGTCTCAGACTCATCTATTAAATTTGCCTCAAGAAGCTTGATTTTCATTCCAATGATCAGCTACAGAAAGGTCAGTTCTCTAGGTAAAGAAAAGCCTCGACAACACACAGCAAAAACTATTTCTGGAACTCTGGAAAATCCCCTTATATTTCTACTTTTGAGCACCAAAGACGGATCTGGTGCAAAACTATAAGCGGGTACCTCCTAAAATTTGTTTAAAATTATTTCTCAGAATATGCTATTTTTTTAAGTAAGTATTGCAGTGGGTCGGCTCCAAGCACCACAAAGTCACTCACTCACTCACTCCTTCCTCTCCTGGTGGGGTAGGAGAAGAGAAAAGCAAGGAAACTCATGGGTCGAGACAAAGACAGTTTACAAAGCAAAAGAAAGAGGACCAAAAAAACCCCTAAAGTGATGGAAATGCAATCACCACCTCCCACAAGTCCAGTGGGAGGTGGTGATTGCACTTCCCGGCCAGTCTCCAAGCAATTGTTACCTTCCCAAAATTCACTTTCCCTCAGTTTTAATTGCCCAGCATGATGTCATGTGGCATGTAATACCCCTTTGGTAAGTTTGGGTCAGCAATCTCAGCTGCGCCGTCTCCCAACTTCTTGCTCATCCCCACCCTTCTCGCTAGAGTGGGGAAGAGAAAGCCTTGACACCACCCAAGCACCGCTCAGCAACAGCCCAAACACTGCTCTGTTATCAACACAGTTTTAGTCAGTAAATCCAAAACATGGCACCATATGAAGAAAATTAATTCCACTGCAGCCAGACCTAGTATACTCTTTTAGTATGAAATGGAAATTTTCCACTTTATAATAACTGATCTGATGCTACTAGCTCGTGTCATGCTTTAGAGGAACTTACCTCTCTAACTTTAGAATGAACAGGAGAACTTCTGGGAAGATGAATTCCATGATGCATGAAATCCTGAATGCAGTTATGTTCAAGTATCTACAGTAAAATCACATACAGGCTACTGTTAACACATAACAAAACAAACAGTACTGTAGACTGGGCAGCAACTTATATTTTTCTCTACAATACACAACTGAAAATAGTCTTTGATATTATTTCTTACTTGGCTTCTGCTTGGTCCAAATTTTTCCACGCTATGGGCCTCTGTCTGCTTAAACTGATTGTCAAAAATCTCAGAATCTGATTCTTAGAACCAGATTTGAAATTCAAAAGCACCTCCACATGGTAAATAAGAATTATTTGGTATCTGAAATTTGCTGTAGCATTGTTGTAACGCTGTAATTATGCTTTTAATCATAATGGAAATTGGAAATAATGGAAATCCACATAAACCAGACAAATATTTAAGCTATCAAATAAATTGACTTGCACATACTGAATAAAAGCTTCAATAACTCAGATAACTAGTCTGTTTATGAAAAAAATCATGTGTATGCATTGTTGTATGAACCAATATATCAGCAGCAGAATTAAAGGTGTTTAAATGTAACCAAGTTGATCACAGTGAACAAACATTCAAAGGATGACATGCTGTTATTTCTTGATAATGCTGAAGAGGCCCTTTCCTAAGGGAAATAATTCCTTTAGGCTTGCTTAGGAATTTTTCTGAGGTTGAAAAGTCATGTATCTTCTCCACCTTGAGATTCAAAACTATCCAAATGAAATTTCAAGCACAGTATTACCTCTAAGAATTCTCCTGACACCTTCTTCCAGGCCCTGAAGTAAACTTCTGAAATGTATTCCATCAAGGATCTGTATTAACAGAAAGGAAACACCTTGAAGCAAGCATCCTAACCAGATCATAAAGGTAACGACATGAAGGTTTTGATAAGTACGAACATTATTCTTGATTCTGTGCATCAACATTATTTTTAGAAGAAGAAATTATCTTGATAGTCTACACTGATAATTATGGAAAAATAAAGTTAATTGCTAATTAACGAACCAGAGCACTATTAGAAAACACAGGAAATATCTCTTATGGTGGAAAAGTCAAACATTAGCACAGATACTTTATCATTTACCTAATAATGAATGCCCTACATTCTTTATAAAGGTGTACAGGTACACATTATTCTAACTGAAAGCATTAGGAAGCCTCTGATTTTAATATGAAGCATTACTTCTATAATATGTCACTGAATGATCAAAGGAAAAAAATATCCACATTTTTTGTCAATCAGTCAAGTTCTCAGGTGATGATCCTGCAAGCCACTTCTAATAAGAATGTCTCCATATGGAATCTTGCCAAATTAAAGTGGAGGTTGCTCATAGGGAAAAATAAAAACACCTTACAGAAGCAGAAATGGACCTGCAATTCTCACAACAAAAAACTGCAAATAACATGGCACAGTTTATATGGAAGTAATTTGCTTTGGCTAATGCTAAATAAGCATTTTACTACACCTATAATTGTACACATAGGCATGTGCAGAGTAACTATTAAATGAAGTTGCTACAACAATACAGTAGTTATATTCAGCAGATGTGACCGTCTCTGGATTCTGATATATTTTATCAATATACTAGGTATTTTTGAGTGTGAGACAAACAGGATTTTAGCCAAGCTCTTAACGATCATTAAGAACTCTAACTGTAATGCATACCTTGGAAAGAATTGTAATTGGTTTTTAACAGTTCCATGTATCATTTTAATGAAGTTTACATTCCAGCTGAACAAAAAGCTCAAGAATCTTCTTCCCTGTTGGGATGGGAAAAGAGGGGGGAAGAAAAAAAAAAAAAAAAAAAAAAAAGTCAAACCCCAGAGGAATACCCAATTTAAAAGCCACCTCAAAAATTAGTAAATACAGAGCAGAAATGACACCTTTAATTTTAAAAAGCATAGATGGGATTGTTGCAGGGAAAAAAAAAAAAATATTCCTAATTTTTAAACAGAATTCAAGCATTACTGTTATTTACACTGTATACAAAAAGCAAAACAAATGACCATGTGGATTACATATCTGCCTGCATATTTTTTTTTCAGTGCCCATTCTGTTCAGGTGTGACTACAAGTAGTATCCCATAACGATAAGGGACTGTGCAACTCAGGACCCTGACCAAGGCCACATCATCAGAGGTCTGTCATGTCATTCTAGGATGACACTGTAATGACGGTGAAGGTACAAATAAAATAGCATGACAACTCTGCCAGCAGCGGGTATGGAAACACTTTTTTAGACAAAGCCACAGAGAACAGCTGGGCCGCTGAGGAAAATACATGTCCTGATTAGGAAGGACAATTCCTTTCCTATTGCCTCGTGAAAGGTAATATTGCAAGCCTCCTGGAACTCCTTTAATTCATGAAAACAGAAAAAAAGAGGTTCAGTTTTTTTTTTCCTGAATTAGTTTTCTTCCATATTAACAAGTTAGAAATGATGATGACAAATTTGGTGAGCAACAGAATTTTTGCGAGAAAAGGCAGTGGAAGGTTGTGGATGGAGGAAATAAGCCCTTGCTCTTCCAGAAACAGCAAGATCTGCCCATGGAATAGAGCCTTACACAGCACCTGTGCTTACAGCCCTACTCTGGCACATGCTGCAGATGAACTGAAGCTTATAAGTCTTTGAAAAGTTTGATCATACATAAGGGCAAGTCCAACAGTTGGAAGGATCCTTTGCACCTGTCAGCTTTCTAGTCAAAAATAAATCAGGAAAATTACTAAGGAGATGCAATAGTAAAGAGCACGTTGGCAGAAGTCGAAGACGTGCACTGAAGAATTAGCAGAGGTTCAAAGACACTTCCATCAAGAGGTGGACTAACAGCTATGTTCAGACAAAATAGAGAAAATAAGGCTGATAATGCCAGACACACTTTGAGCTAGAATATCAGAGAGTAGGGCTAGAGAGAAGGAAGCATATAGGCAGACACTGCCCTTTAGTGGAACTGATAGCTTAAATGCCTTCAGGTCAAGAAGTAATGCAGATGATAAAAAAAAAAAAATAATCAAGACCTAATGGTTGAATACGATGTCAAGATCCTTGTCTACAGATCTGACAGAACCCTTCCTGTTGCCAGTGAGTGCTTCTCCTACCAAAAAAGCAAAAAATTGAATGAACAAAGTCACTTATCTCCAGCTTTGGTGTTACAGTAGATATTGGCTTCCCAGTGGTGCACTCTTCCATCAGCATCGCTGACAAAGGAAAAGGTCAAGGGAGTCTAAACTTACAGCTCCTGCCGCAACAAGGCAAAGATGAGGCCAAACTCAAACTCATCTCATCTTCTACAATCCCAGCAGCGAGACAGATGAAGAAAAGTCACAAAGTAGCTTTCAGCAATTTAACCAATTATTTTTTGCCTTATATTTCAACAGATTGACCCTGATCCTGAAAATTATAGTAGGGGCCTGTAATTTAATCTGCTGCTTGTGATCAATGGATCTGAAGCGATTACTGTCATCATCATTCTCAATATCATGAAGGTAATCTCATCCCAGGTAAATAAGACTGCAAACTTGTCATCTTTGGGGTTAATGCAGTAACAGTGTTGAGCATCTTGTACTGCTGTGCATGTGAATACTGACAAGTGACTTTGTCAGTTGCATACACACACGGAAAATTAGCAAGGAAGAAGAGAGTAGAATAGGCTACCACTGAAACACAGTAATATATGGTCTGTGGGGCTCTCCAGCTGTGTGATTGGAAACCCCACCTGAACAAGAATGTTGTCATAAATCACACAGATATAAATTCAGAGGATCGCTCCACTAATGCAGCCTGAAAATAAGGCTCTGAGAAATACTACTCTGTGTTGAACAGCACAGTCTGGGAAGGCAGAAAGGACATAAAACCAAATACAGAAGCAGCCAATAAAGTCTTACCAGTCGTCTTCCCTCTTTTCACCCATGTTTTTTCTCCTTTCACACCTCTCTCATTGCCTTAGTACATCCCAATTTTAGCCAAAACTAAAACATCTTAAAACACAATGTGTAAGCAATCAAAAAAATAAATCTTAGTGTCCATTATCCAAAACCTGGTCTTGCCAAACATTTCACATAATTTGCTCCCTACCACCATTTTTAAAACCCTCTATGCCCATAATGCCACAATCATGCAGCAACGTCAGAGTCCATTTTATGACAGAAGTTCATATATTCAGTGACAGGAAATATATGTATTGCAAGGAGGCATTAGAACTTTGGAGCCAATGTCAGGTTGTCTTGCCACCTAACCAGAAAAAAAACTTGGATACTGGTATCTTGATGCACACTACAAACTACAATACAGTACATCTTCACTGAGAGAAATACAGGTAGTCAAATAAAATAATTCTCATTTTGCTGTAAAGTTGGATTCTTCTTATGCTACTTTCAAAACAGACTATGGCAATGCAATCTTCTAAATGGAATCATTTAGAAGGGAAACTGTTTTGCTAAATTTATCTATCTCCAATAAAAGAAAAACTGCTATAAAGAAGAGAATTATACCAGGGAATGGTTTTAAGTATTGAGGGACATGCACTGGAAGCAAAGCACTTAGTTCTTATTACCTCAGGATACAAGAACATGAGTGATGCCTTAGTCATATACTTTTATATTTATGTCAGAAACAGGAATAAGGGGTTTCCAAATCAAACAGAAATATCAGCCGTTGATAGCTTGGAGCCAGAGCTGATTTGTCTTGTATTGCTACCTACTGTACTGTAAAAAAAAGGCTTAATGCAAAACCATTAGAAGTAACCAAAGCCCACACACATAAAAATCCCAGTAAGATAAAAATTTGCTTACCTCTTCTTTTTTGATGTGTTTTACACTCATAAAACACTGAAGCAACAGATCCTTGACCTCATTACTCTCCTCTGAATCGTAATCAAAACAAAGTAATGTCTGATGTAGATTCCATAGACGAACAACATCTGCCCCCTGACAGGAAAAAAGCCCCGATATATAGCTTTAACTTGAAGAAGTATTTAAAGGTTTTAAATAATTATTTTGAAACACATTGTTAAAGATCGAAGATTGTAAAATTATAAACATTAATTGACTTTCACCGCATCATTGGGAAAAAATTACAAAAATCTGTGTAACTGCATACTTACTTCCAACCAATGAAGACATACTTAAGTACAGAAGGAAAGCTGCTACTTCACACAAAATAAATGAAAACTGTATTATTCCACTTTTGAAACTTTATACAATGACAGTAATTAGCAGGGAAAAAATAAAAGACAGACACAAAAAAGACAGACAAAAAAAAACTGTAGAAAAAAGAATGTAAGAAATCTGGTTTGCTTGTGAAGTTGATGCCGAAAATCTTCAAAGTTTGTTATAAAGAAGGCAACGTTTTAATATGTTGCTTAGGCAAGCAACACCAAAAACACACTTTGTAACCAACACATATCCTAGGTTTCAGTAGATGAGAAGCACTAGGACCTGAAAAACAAGTTAATTTGACATGAAAGGTATTTTGGAGGGATAAACTTTTTTTGAATATTCAGTAATAATCTAAAAGTCAATATAGCTTCCGTATACCGTAGCAGCTTTAGTCAGGCTTTTTCTCAGCAGAATGATAAACAGAGTCTTCCCAAGCTGCTCCTTCCCTTCCAGGCCTTTCTCCCACCACATTTCACATACACGTTGGATAACGCCCTGTAGGATTTTTTCAGGTTCAGGTGACACAGAAAGAATACCTAAAACAGTAACAAAGTAATTATTTACTGCCATGAACCAAGTAACTCCTGTAAAACATCAGTTTGTTAGTACACTAACTATACCTCACAATGTCAACCAGTTCTTGCCACTTTTATACATCTTAATGGCTTATTCTCATTGTATTTAGACAGCTTTATTAACTCTTAAGGTTTTGGCCAAGTTTTTGGATCAGTAACAATGAACCAAAGTTAGCAGTGATCTTACATTTTGTCTTAAAAATACTATAAGTTACAGAATAAGGGAAGTTATCTATCATTGGATGAACAGTTGGGAGAAAGTACTTAAGTTCCAAATTTTAAGTAAATGCTCCTTTAATTTTGTCACATAAATAAGAACTCAGTACCAACTCTCGTGCAGTTAATTCTGTTCGATGGGCCAGTCAGGTCAAACAAAAAAATCTGCTAAAATCTGCTAAAAAATCAGTATAATGCTGTATTGTGTAACAGATAAGTACGCACCGTTTAATATAAAAACACATTCTAGAAGAGCTTTGTAGTTTACAGTTTCATCCACTGCAGGTATGGAAGCAGTAACTACAGCTGCCACTCCCTGGATCACAGCTACAGTTTGTTTCTGAAAGAAAGCAACATCGAGGAAACAATTCTGCAGTTTACTTTATACTCAGAAGATAATTAATGACAAGCAATAAACCTTAGCAACTGAGAGCAAAGCTGAATTGCTATTATGCTTCCATTTTGAACAAAGAGTGTACTGGCACCCAAATCCTATCAAATAAGAAGACGCAAAAGCATAGATTTTCAAAGTGCATCCATTTCAAGAAGTTTGAAAAAGGCTTTCAGCTCCAGCTAGTAGATAACATGGGGACTGTACACCCATACCCATTCCTCCATTAAAAATTTCTCCTGCAATACAACCACTCAAACACACATCCATTTCAGACCTAAAAAGACCCTAACTACCAGGGTCTTGTACAACTCAAAAATGTGTAGATCTGGTTACTTTAGATCCAGTTACATGATTCTACAGGCCTTTGTACATATTATGGATTTTCTACAAGCCTCTAGGTCTCCCTAATGATTTTCCCACTGCATTTCTCTTTTTCTTCAAAAATTAAATAACCTTTTCCCCCAAAATTCTCAAGACTATGTGGACTGCAGCTCAGAAGGCAATATATAACGGTCTATGCCAGAAAAACTCTGTGTAAGCTAAATTTGTCAGTCTAGGTTTCACAACCTTCATTCAGTAAAATGGCATAATAAAACAGGTAGTCAATTTCTTGCAGTATATGCCAGATACTTAAGGAACATCTGAGAGATCAATATTTGTTTACTGAAATAAGGCATACAAAAAGCCCACTTTTTTTCCACTGAAAAACACAAGTCTCCTCCTCAATTAAAATTAATAATTTTAATTATCAAAATTAAAATTATCAGTAGATCTTATCTTTTATAATACAGAAAAAACATAAAGTCAGCTTAACCCGAGCATGACACTTAAGAAGTCAGTTAAGAACGAGGCAGGGATGATGTTTGGAACTAACGTTGTCTGATAACCCTCGCATGTTTTCAGATGCTATGAAAATATTCCATTTTATTTACCAGAAAATATGAATCATATTTTTATTTTACAAGATTTTTACCATTTGTTGAGCTCTCTCAATTTCCATGTTATCATTATTTTCATCATCTTCAACCTCCTTCCACGTTTCCACAGGGTTCTCCATCAAAGTCTCTGTCAATAGCTGTGTCAGTTTCTCCCATAGTACTTCTTTTTGCTTTCTTGGCAACTCTTGAAGTAGTTCATTCAAGTCGAAAGGATCAAATATATTTTTCTGTGAATTGCCAGAAGACATCACACAATTCCACATCAGTGAGGTCACTTATATTTCATCACCATATTTCCTAAAATTAACGTTTTTTTACATTAAGGATTAATTTCCATTCCTCTGCAGTTATAGAGATGAAATGCCTTCTAGAAGTTGTATTTCTTTAAAAAATAGCATGAGAAATTCCTGCCGTTTAACTCTTTATTGTGAAATAAGAGTATTGCTTTTAAGACTAAAGTCTTTAGCCCTCGATAGCAACACTACTCAACATAAATCACATCACTGTAATAGCAACTTATGTCTCTCGTGTTCTAAGTACTTCATTCCCAATGAAGACAATTCCATACCCTTAGCTAAGAAGCTCACAACTGCACAGAGTTAAAGCCCCTGATCATATCTTTGTTATCTTCAATATAGATTGATGGTGGCTTTTGAAAGAAAATCCCCACACAAGGACTAGGAATTTAACAGTCAGTACAGCTGCAGGGACAGCACTACAGGGTTTGGAGTACAGTCTGCATACAACACTGCTCTGTGCACTGCACTGCTTTAAACTCCCCCCAGTCAAACCCAACTCCTGAGCACATTAACCCTATACTTCCCTCTTTAGCTCTATTGAATAGGAAGCCACTATTAGTCTCTATAGAAGACTCCTCTAAAAGACTGAGTTAAATTATTTCTCAGAAGAACCTCGCTAGAAGTGTTTACCTCAGAGATGCAAAGAGCCTGCTGGCATCAAAGAAGGGTAGGCAACCTGCTATGAAAGGGTATATGCAGAGAAAACATGAGAAGAAAAAACAGACACAGCCAAGAGCAAGTACAGATAGGTTTTGAGATGTAATTTGCAATCCTGAAGTGAAGGTCTACCAGATCAAAAACACTTTGGAAAAAAGAGAAAGAATGTCCATGATCTCGAAATAAAAATATTTTTAGTTTGCAGATACACTAAAAACCAGGAATCAAAAACATAAAAAATGTTGAAGCGAAAAAGAAAAATTGAAAATAATGAAAGAAGCAGCAGTAAGTATTAGAAGGTTCCCAGAAGGGTATGAGAAGAAAGATCCTGTTACATATTTATAACAGAATTTCTATCTTATTCTACAGCTGGAAATAAATACAATAAACCAAAGGCTTCACAGGGAGTTCTGCGGCCCTCTATGTCAAAGTAACCCAAAAGACAGGATATTGAGATTACACTGTTTTGAACAAAAAGAATGAATTCATAATAAGACCAAAGCTTTCTGATCTTTCCTTGGGATGGTATAAGAGAATTATTCCAAAACCTATGAGAAAAAAGGATGTCGTTGAATGATAGTCATAGGCGTGATTCTTATTTTGTTGTCTGAGAAATAATGCATTTTCTTGAATTGGAACAGGATTTAGTGAAAAAATTTAACAGCACCTGATAAAGACCTCAATGAACAGCACCACAATATAGTAATACTTTTAAAAGATTACAAAGAAAGGTGAAAAGCCCAAGACAAACTTTGAAGAAAAATTAGCAAACCCCTGTAATTTTACAAGATGTGAATGAAACAAAACATTGAGAGGAGGGAAAATTAAAATTAAAGTGGATTAGGGGGTATAGTAATGAGAGACACAGAAAGAAGAAGTGATGCTAAGAACAGAAACGTAAATATAAGTTAAAAAAGCAAATTCTGATGCTAGAGCACAAAATAGGTAGAAAAAGCGGGACATAAATATAGTACAAGAACTAAGAAAAGCAGTGAGACTCTAAGCATCCTTTCTTATTCTTTCTATGGTTATATATCCACTTCTAATACACTGCCAAAGCAGTCCAGAATTATTCAGATGAGGATGTTCACCCTAAGGTAAGATGTGGTCAAACACCCTCCATCACTGAAGGTTAATCCAAACAAACCAAGATAGGTTAAGAAAGATCACTGTATTAAGATTGCAAAAACAACACGACCAAATCAATCAAAAAGGAAATGCTTCAAGTACCGTGCACTATCCTGAACAGCACAGTTTCTTGTTAAAGTATTCAGATTTGGAGAAAAATGGGGACTTCGAGCAAAGGCAATCTGGTAATAAATTTGTCATCTCTAATTACCAACAGCAGTGTAAGTGAAAAAACTAGCAAATTTCTTGGAAAAAGACATTCAATTATGTTTGAGAGATAAATATTTCTAAGCTTATTACATAGAACATGATCTCTATCACAGAAATCATAGGTTTAATACATCTGCTATATTAGTAAATTAGTTCATGCCTCCATGGACATAAAGGTCAGCTAATCCACTTACTTTATTCCGATACAGGTAATATTAGGAAAATACTGATTAGAAAGCTTAGAAAACTAACCTGAAAATACCATTTATTAAGGCTAGCAAAAGATGTTTAGGAGAAAGTATGTATATCTTAATACCAGACACATAGAACCTTAGTGGAAAATACCACAGTGCAAACTATTATTTCTGATCACTATGCAACATCATATACACAACTTGCAAATGAATTTTTAATGAGTAGATTTCAGTGGATTTGTTTTGTTGTTCCTCCTGCTTCTCTCCATGCTGCATTTAGAGACAGCAATATATCCCATCTCTAAGACATTCACTGATAAAAAGAACTATCAAGCACAGACTACAGAAAGTGGACAGCCTGAACTATCAAATGAATGAACAAATACGAGTGAAATATGCCTCTGCTATCTTTATACACTAGCTCAGATTCATGACACAGCAATAAACTCTTCCATAAGTTGAAAATTTTTTTTTAACATTACCATGGTACAAATAATTTCTTTTTTTTTAATGTAAAATATATATGTAACAACCAAGTGTTAAAAAATTAGATGGTTTATAAATAGCAACATTTCAGATCCACAACTTCTTCAGCTATATTCCCTTAAGTGAACTTATTTTCTACAGCAATTATCCTAGCACATCTGCAGGTACCAAAGAAAAATTTTCTTGTCCCTATGTCACAAAATTACTGCACTACTAACAGACTTACAATTTTGTTAGTTATGCTCACATATCATGGCTTACTTACAGGATTCTGAGTATAACGCAAGAAGTCTTCAATAGACTCTCTAGACACCACTTGTAGAAATGCTTCGCGTTTCATTGTGGTCTTGTTTTGCCTTGCTTTATAAACAAAACAGAACAAAGTGTTAGCGAAAGCACTGTATCTCAAAATAAGACCATTTTAGGTCTCAGTGAAGAATATATGAGCTTACATTGTTCATCTACATAGTTATAAATACAAGATGTTCCCAGCCCAAAATACTTTACAGTTGTCTGAATCAGCATTTAGGTTCATAACAGCAGCGATATTTGCATGCTTTGTTTTTAGTTGGTTTTTTACTAAGCAAGTCCTAAAACAGAAGAACTTCTTAGTGGATACGTTTATGTTTAAAAAGAACATCGTACCCTGCACATACAGGATAGTATGCCTTTTTAGCTAGACATCACTCCTGACAACATTTAAACATTATAATAAATACAGCAAAATATTCTCGCCTTTCCTCCCTTGTCAAGGGAGGACTATGGAAAATGGGCAAGGCCAATTTTTGACACCACGAGCTTAATTGACGCAGCCGAGCGCTCCTGTCCACCCTAGACGGCTCCTGACGTGCTGTCCCGGTCCCCCTCAGCTGGCAGGCTGCCCTACACCGCCTTTGCTGTGCGCGAAGCCGTACCCCGGAACGAGCCGGGAGCCCAGCTGGGCACTGTCCCCACCAGCCAGGGGCTGATGAGCCCGGGGCTACCGCCAGGCCCCCCGCACGGCCCCGCAGGCCGCCCTACGCCCCCGGTAGAAAGGAAGCGGGAAGACACAGGGGCCGCTTACCTACCTCTCCCTCAGAAAGGAACCCTGGCAGACCCGGGGGTTACGTTTCCAACGACGCGGCGCTGCCAGCAAAGGAGGGAAACGAACCCGGCGGCGGTCCGGTCTGACGGGCGGGAGGAGAGCCCGGGCCGCTCGCCAGCAGGAACGGGCCCCGCTGCCGGAAGAGGGGCCAGTCCCGGCTGCGGCTCAGGGAGGGGACAGCGTACCCCTCTGCCGGCTCCTGGCGCTCCCCCACCGCTGTCCGTCCGCCCGCCCGCCCTCCTCTCCCTCACGCAGCACTGATGCCCGCTGCCGCCCCTTTCGAATTCTCCCGCGGCGGCCGTTGAGCGCGCGCGGGCGGGAGGGCGGGCGCGTGCGTGCGGGCGGCGGAGCTCCCGTCTCGCGAGATCTCGGCTCTAGGCCTCTCCCCCACCCGCCTCCCCGCCACTGAGGGAGCTGAGGGGATACAGTGACACCCCTCTCTCCCTCCTCCCCCGACACAGGACTGGGCTCCAAACGCACGCTTTCGGCTTTTTGCTTGTTTGTGCAAAGGCGAGAGCTGTTTTCAGTCAGGTGCCGCCTGGGTGACTGGCGGTTCCGCGGCTGCTACCGCCGGCCGAGGCCACCGCCGCCCCCAGCCGCCCCTATTCATGGAGGAAGCGGGGCTGAGGAAGGGGCGGCTGGTGCCGGTGTGGCAGGAGGGCCGGCGGAGCTGCACTGGGTGCTCCTTTCTGGAGAGGACAGGCCTTGTAATGGGCACCACTGGGCAGCTGCAGCCTGAGAATTAGTAGGGAGTTTGGTGCAGGCTGTGCTGCTCGCTTTTAAACTCAACTATACTGAAATGATTTTCTTCAGCTTTCACTTTAGAATCATAGAATCATAGAATCGTCTAGGTTGGGAGAGACCCTTGGGATCATCGAGTCCAACCATCTACCCTACTCTACAAAGTCCTCCCCTACACCATGTCCCTTAGCACTGCATCTAAACGACCCTTAAACACAGCCAGGGATGGTGACTCCACCACCTCCCTGGGCAGCCTGTTCCAATGCCCTATCACTCTTTCGGTGAAAAATTCTTTCCTAATGTTCAATCTAAACCTACCCTGTTGGAGCTTGAAGCCATTCCCTCTCGCTCTGTCACTAATTACCTGTGAGAAGAGACCACCACCAACCTCTCTACAGTATCCTTTCAGGTAGTTGTAGAGAGTGATGAGGTCTCCCCTCAGCCTCCTCTTCCTCATACTAAACAAAGTCCAAACTCCCTCAGCCGCTCTTCATACGATTTGTTTTCCAGCCCCCTCACCAGCTTCGTTGCCCTCCTCTGCACTCGCTCCAGCACCTCGATATCTCTCTGGTATTGAGGTGCCCAAAACTGGACACAATACTCGAGGTGTGGCCTCACCAGTGCTGAGTACAGGGGGACAATCACCTCCCTACTTCTGCTGGTCACACTATTTTTGATACAAGCCAGAATGCCATTGGCTTTCTTGGCCACCTGGGCACACTGCCGGCTCATATTCAGCCGTTTGTCAATGAGAACCCCCAGGTCTCTTTCTTCCAGGCAGCTCTCCAGCCACACTTCCCTGAGGCTGTAGCGCTGCATGGGGTTGTTGTGGCCCAAGTGCAGGACTTGGCACTTGCCCTTGTTGAAATTCATGTCATTGATATTGGCCCAGTGATCCAATCTATCTAGGTCCTTGTAGGGCTTCCCTATCCTCCTGGGAATCAACACCCCTGCTTAACTTGGTGTCATCTGCGAACTTGCTGATGATACAGCCTATGTCCTTATCGAGATCATCAATAAAGACGTTAAACAGAAATGGTCTCAACACTGAGCCTTGAGGCACACCACTTGTGACCGGCCGCCAGCTGGACGTAAATCCATTGAGCACAACTCTTTGGGACCTTCCAGTCAGCCAGTGCTTGATCCAGCAGATTGTGTGCTCATCCACTCCGTGTGAAGCCAGTTTTTCCACTAGATTTGTGTGATAATAATGGATGGCTCGCTTAAACTAATTACCCAGGAGGAGCAACCAATCAATTGCCCAGACAGGGAGTAAATCTACATACCAGCGTTCTGTAGCTGTCTCTTAAAAGCCTTAACACCTTCAAACGGGGATAAAACATGTTTGGTTAAATTCACGTATAGGCTCAAGAAACAGTATGCCTTTGTCATGGGTTTGGCTTGGATGGAGGTAACTCCTTTGATAGCAGCTGGTGTCGTGCCACGTTCTGGAGTTGGGATGAGGAATAGTGTTGATGGCTCAGGGGTGGTTTTGGTTGTTGCTGAGCTCTCAAGGCCTTTTCTGCTCCTCATATTGCACCAACAGTGAGCAGGCTGAGGGGTGTGAGAAGCTGGGAGGGGACACAGCGGGGATGGCTGATCCCAACTGACTGAAGGGCAGTTACCATGTGATGTCGTGCTCAGTATGTAAAGCTGAGGGGGAGGATGAGGAGGGAGGATGTTTGGAATGATGGCATTTGTCTTCCCCAGTCACTGTTTATGCGTGATGGAGCCCTGCTTTCCTGGAGATGGCTGAACACCTGCCTGCCAGTGGGAAGCAGTGAATGAATTCTTTGTTTTGCGTTGCTTGTGTGTATGGCTTTTGCTCTACCTGTTGAATTGTCTTTATCTCAACCCATGCGTTTTTCTCACTTTTACTCTTCTGATGCTCTTCCCCATCCAAAGTTGCGGGGGGAAGTGAGTGGCTGCCTGGTCCCAGTTGTCAGTGGGAGTTAAACCGCAACGGCCTTTTTCCATGGATCTTGGGTAGCGTGGATGTACAAGTACTGCAGTAATTTCTGCTAGCTCACAAAGCCTGCATCATCCATTTGATTACACTGGTGTCTATTTTCTCCAAGAATGTTTTTGTTGCTGTTGTTGACAACTACACATTTAATCTTAGTCATGGTGAACAGTGCATGTGTTACACGCTCTTCATCCAAAGCGATGAAGAGCTAAACAGGCTACTCACCAGAATTTATAGGAGACTATGTAAGCCAGATGATATTTACACTTTGATAAATAAGTATTTTTTTTATCTATCAGGAAATGCTGCTTTTTGTTTCTTCTCAAACTTAATTTGCGGTACTCAGAAACAGTTGGACTCAGATCTTTGAATTGAGCATAATCAGCTTTCAAATTCTGTGGTATTCCCCATTCCATTTGTTTGATCTCTTCTGCTATCTAGAAACAGTCAAGATGTCTTGTTAAGGGCTTAATTTATATCTTTCAATTTTGAATTTGCACTAGTGCAATATTTCTCAGGATGTGTTGTACAGGAGAGGTGGGTGCTTGACTGAAATAATTTACTTTCAGACTGTGCTAGCAGCACAGCATATGCTGCTTTACTGTGCAAACAAACAGAAAATCAACAATAATTTCTATAAAAGTTCTCACATCTGATTGGACTTTTCTGGATTGTAATTTTTAAGATTTTATTTAATATTATATGTAAAAAATCACTTCTTAAACTAGTATTTCTGTCTTTATATTTTAACATAGAATCTTCTTTAATCATCCTACCTCACTTTCTATTCAATATTAAGACTTGTCAGTTTTTCTGCTATATGTATTTGGCTTAAAGACATTTCCTGGTTTACTCTTTTAAGTTTTTGAGTAAACTATTTACCTGTTTTTTAGACAGTTTGAAGACTATAGGATGAAAAATAGTTTATTATATGCTTATCCCATATAAATAGTGCTATTCTGTGTTGCTTAAAAAATGTAACAGATGACTAACGTTAACTGAAAGCAAAGATAAAAACTCTTTCAGTTCCTGAATCATCAACTGAGTCCACATGACTTCTGAAATAACTGGATTCCAAAACAAATATGGGTGATCTAGAAAGTTCTGTCAGCACTGCAGAGCTACATTCCTTACAAGCTGTAACTGAGATGGTGGCGTACCCCAGGCAGGGAGGACGTGGCAGAAGGAGTTAGCAGCCAAAAACTCTTCTTGCGCAATGTAACTGCGCGGCGGCAGTTGAGTGCCACACTCTTTGTCTTCTCCTGAAGCTGAACACACGCTTCCCCACACCATATGGCCATCTAGACAAAGGCCCGGCTCCTCAGAAGTGTGGAAATATCAGTCCAGGACACGGTTCACATCCACCTCCCGGCAACTACAGAGGAAGGTCCCAGGAGAGACAGGTCCCTGGAGAAGTGCTTGAAATCGCATCTGTCCTCCAGCCTGAATCCCCGCACTGCAACAGCCAGAGGCATTGGCTTCTGGAAGTGGGCTACCAAAAGAAGGGGCTGTTCTGGTGCTCTGCAGCAAAGGAGGATGGAGTCAGGGTTGGTTCAGGTCCTATGGACTTGACTTCAGTTCTTACGTTAGGTGTCCAGCTGTGTGCAAGAGGTGTCCCTGCCCACGGCAGGGGGTTGGAACTCGATGATCTTTAAGGCCCCTTCCAAACCATTCTGTGATTCTAAGTCTGTGAAACAGTTTGCTTGAAGTAAGTTGTGTGAGCAATCATCATACTCGTAGAATAGTAAAAGCAAATAAAAGAGTATGAAAACTGACATTTATACATTGTGCTGATGTCTGTCCTTTCTGCATACATTAAGAATCTTTGCCATTTTAGATCCAAACTGATGGTTTTATTTATCATGTCTCGTGTGGACCGAATATTTCATTAATACCTTGATTAGTGTTTTAATTAGATGCTACATTAGTCACCTGGTTACTGTTTATTTAGTCGGGCACGTATCCATTTAGCAAACCAACTAAAACATATTTTAGCTTATCAGTTGTGTTGCATAGCAACCACAGAATGATTTTTTCACAGTATTGAAACTGGAAGTTGACACGGATAATAACAGACTGAATAACACCAAATGATTCATTTTAACGGACCACACAGAGAAAAGAGAGAGGCAGAATACCGTTTTTCAGGTTTTTTCAAGAATTGTGCGTGCACTGCAAGCTAGTAATGAAGCTACAACTCTATTTGCAGCATCTCTAATGTTCTCCCTTTCGAGAGTACCGAATTACATGCCTCTTTTTGACATATCTGTTCATCTGTTCAAAATAATCTATACCCTGTGATAATAATCTCATATTTATTATCATTTTCCTGTCAAGTCAAGTTAAGGCAAAAATGAAAAATGGGCCTTCCACACATGGTTGCTGAGCAACAGCAAATAAAGATTTGCTTTTGTGCCACCGCTTCATAAACTGGTCTTTATTCTTGGTGGTGGCCTGGGTAAGAGATCTCCATTACAAACGTCTCTCAC